ATTTTCGGACCATTTCCTTTCTTAGCCCATCCCAGTTTGGACACTGCAGATACGTTCCCACACCCGCATGCTACGTTCCCGTGATCACCATGCCTTTGCCTTTTCCTTCCCGCCCTTTGTTCTCCCTTTGTCATCTTCACTGCCTCGCTCTCGCGCCTTGTCTTTGGTTGCTAAGCAGCCCTTCTAGTATATAAGGACCCCCTTAGGCACTCCCTAGTCCCCATCTCGACCTCTTGGTCATTGGGACTAGGTGAGTGACCATAGCGTTGTATCTCCCTCCGATTGCTAATGTATAACTTGGTCATTGGGACTAGTCTGTCGCTGGTTGCGTGAAGACTAGCTTTCGTCGGTCTTGTGCCTTCGTGCCGACCGCCGCTCTGCCCCGTCGAGTTTTCTGATACGTTTATCCCTCTTACCCTCTCTTCTCCCCTTTCGGCTCCTCGCCGCTCGCCTACGGGGTCGTCGCCGAACGTCGACCCGAGTCCACGCGCCTAGTCGCCGCGACACCGTGGGAGAGGCCTTCGCCCCCCGGGTTCAACAGATAGCTGTACGAATTCACACAAAGCACGCAAGTACTAAGCCTTTGTCGTTAGCGACACAAGAATTGAATGAATATGTGAACAAGAAGGGCGCCTCTTTCTCCGTGAGCGCTAGTATAGCCTGGGGACCGGACTGGATCGCGCTGTGACGCATTCGCCCGCCGCTCGTTCTTCATCGTTCTTCATCTTGCCAGGCGGAATCAGGCACTGGGGTTTAACGTTTGCCTTCCAGCGCCCCAGTGCCTCCCCCCCCCCGAACTTTCCTTTGGCCTGACAGGGCCGACTCTTGTGGTCAAATCCATGCATCGCCGCGGGACCAGCTTCAAGTTGGAGCTCAGGCTTCAAGCTTCAAGCTTAAGCCTCATCTTTAAGCAGCAAACTCGGGCTGTCGGCGACCTCTCGAGTGCTACCAGCGCAACACATTAGAGCCGTTGCCTTGTCGTACTACACGGCATACTCGAACACGATAATATTTTCTACTCTGTAAGCAAGCAGGCTCAAGAGGGTGTTGCGCCGGAAGCGAATATCTGGGCCTCCCTCACCACCAAACTTCTAGGTATGTTGATGCTTGTCAAGATCAATGGGTGACTATGGACGATCTGCCATCGGCGTATGGAATGTCTTACTGTCACCTAGGAACTAAAGGGGCATCAAGCTTACCATCGCAGTGAACGTCGTTCAAGACCGCACGATGATATCCTACTGAGGGATGCAAGGCAACATGCACTAAACGGAGGATTCTATGAGTTTTCTCAACACGAGAAGCGGTGTATCTCTCATGGATCCTTAGGCCTCATGTACCGCTGAATCACTGCTAACTCACCCATTGGCAAAGTATGTCTTGTTTCGTAAATCGCCGCAGCACAAGGCCTACTGTGTAGTCCTACAAGCACGTATCCTTCTCAGCTCGCGCGTGCCCAGCCGCGTGTCGATCGCACGGAGTCCTTTCAGTGAGCATGTATCCCTTACGTGCTCGTTACGTCCCACTGACGAATCACGCAGCAACGACCAATTGCCGTCCCATGGGTGTGGAGACTACCGCAAGGCACCTCACGCGAATGCCAGTCAGAACGCCGGGCCCTAGGGTTCTCGACGTTCATAACGCGCAAGGAAGACGTCCGAGGCGTCTCCGGCAGGGTCCCCTGCTCGATGGCTCATCTACGCGAACATTCGCGTGCGTCTCCTGTCTCCTTCCTCTGCCGACCCGTTTCTCTCCGCATCGGACCCGCATCACATCTGTCCTCAAGGCTTCGAGATGCCCAGTGTCCACCTTCTACCCCCCGAAGAACGGCGATATAGTGAGATCACACACAGATTACATTCATCGCGGCGCAGATGGCAATCGGATGGGCCAATCTGACCTAGATATCCCTCAGCAGTGGGCTGCACCCAATTAGGTGGTGCATCGGATGCCATTCTGTGTCCATACAAGGAGCTGTGCCGCTTCTCGACCTCCAAGCGGTCTGTGTCGTGTGCCCTGATGACGTCCTCAGCGTACAAGTAAGTACACTTTCCATCCTCGCTCGCTTGTCCCTGGGTTATCGTTATCGTTTATCGTGACGTACCGGCAGGTTTCGTCTCAGACGGCAAGTTGGCTGCCGGATACGAAAAGAACGCGGAGGCCGAGCTTCGGTGTCCTCTGAATGTCGCCTGCAAGGCCCCTCATGCGTATCTCCGACGGAAGCATGTCTAGGAGACGCTGAGATTAACGACTTCCCGTCGCGGTAAGCCAGTTGTCTAGCCGAGCGATGGCGGAGGCTTGTGCAATCGCTCTTCAAGATGGACGAAAACCAACGTATCCCTGCTTCCAAGTTGTTATCAAGGCATGAGCAAGCGTCACGCATAGCTACAGCCTACATCCTGAGGGCCATGTCCGAAGGCTTACTACGGCCATAGTAGCGCAATGTCCCGGAACCAGGGAATTATCACTGTGCTCTTCTCTTTCGGCTCACCTTCTTGACAGGCGAACTCCTACGGCGTGTCACCATATCGCATCAACCGTGGCTGCCGGTCGCGCTATCAGCGACTCGTGTCTGCCTACCTCAAGAAACTTTGTGGCCGATCGCAGCCCCGTGCACTTCCTCAGGTCGCATGTATGCCTATACGCTGTTCCCCTCGAGTCGAGTGTCGAGATACCGATCTATTCTTCTGAGGCTCTCCACGAAGACCCTTGCGCGTACGGCGAACACGCATTCCCGTCGGGCATGGCCCGAGCCCAGCGCTCTTCTCACCAACCACCGGTAATGGGCGCTGAGCTTCGAACGAGTTATAGTACCAAGGCGCCATGTCCTCAATGGCACCTTCGATGAATGCACTGATCCTAGCAGCACGGTGCATGATGCGCTTGCCAACCAACGGCCAATCGTTGTCGACGTCGACGGTCTGATGCCTCATTCTGATTCTATGGTCTCACGGACCCGAGTTTGAGTGGGCCTCACCGTTGTCAATGGACACTCGTTTCAATTCCGGGGTCCGTGCCAGCCTGCGATGTATGCGGGCAGATGAGGTCGGCTGACGGCCATGTTTGGGGCGCGAATCAGTGGCAGGTGCGAGGCCGCCGCTGTAATGCGAATGAACTCAAGATGTATGGCGAAATCAGCCGCCACGGAATGGCTCAGATTATTGACGTTCATCTGCGCTCGTCAGCGCGCAACCGATCGAAGAACTCACGTAGCGCAACGGAAGACCCGCGACGTCCCGACCACTGCCGGAACGAAGCTCGCGAAGCGGCGACGGCTGTTACAGCGGCGCCGCATGCAGCGTTTACGGCACCGCTTTGCGGTCGCTGGTCTGCTGACCGCCGTACACAGTCCGCCTGGCGGGGTTGCATCATTCGGGGGGCGATGTGGCTAGGGGTTTTCTTAGCTGGAGGTCAGGCGCGGGACGTGTTGCCCAAAGCCGACGATGATGACGACGTTGCAGTGCCGGAGACCCATCGTACCATGGTACGGACGCGGGGATGACCACCGGGTAAAGCTCTGCACTCGTGGGTCCGGAACGGAACAATATGTCTCGGGGTGTGTCACGACCGATGACAATAACGGTCGACATATGCGCCGCAGGCCACGAGAACGCTCGCAACAGCGAGAAGGGGGGCAAGGTCAGATGGCAGTGGAGCCGACAGAGGACTGTATTCGGTTGCGTGGGGATCATGGACACAGTGGTATGGGATGGTATGCGACGAACGGTGCGACTAATCATACAGATGGAGTGTACATATATGTGCAGAGAGACTCAAGAAGCTTGCGATAGACGAAGATAGAAGAGCGGCGAACAGGAATGCAGCAGACAGCGACAACAATAGGCGATTAGCTACAGGTACGCATGCGTGTCCGTGCAGGAGACTGGAAACGGAGGCGTAGGCGGATGCGATCGTTCGAGGTCGTATAGAGACGAGGGCCATGGACTCCTAGAGGCAGGCGGGAAGAAGGTGGGGAATATGGAGGTGAAGAGCACTGAGGGGTCATTGGGGGGTTCGGAGGAGCGACGACGGGGTGGCGCGTCCTGCGCGCGTTTGAAAGACAAGCCGCAAAGATTTTCCGCCGACCGCATCCTTGCGAGGTGGTATTCAGGAGGTCCATGGCATCCGCAGCGGATGGGGATATTTACGACAGCGGTATCGGGGCGCCGTCGCGCGCGTTAATGATTACGCCCGTGGCGAGCATCATGCAGGAACCTTGCGCGCGGCGGCGGCGCGGCATTGGAAACAGTCGTCCTTGACGGTGTCGACGTCCTTTTGAATGTCGGGCCCAAAGTTCTGCACGGTCGGAGCGCGAGCAGCGGAAGGGAGAGCGGAAAAGAGAGCAAAGACGTCAGCGAGCTGTTCCCGATCTGATCGCGTCGGGCAGGGACTGGGCACGTGAGGCGGCTAAACGAACGCGCTAGCGTTTGTCGCCACTCCGTCCTCGCCTCGGACCACGACGACAACGTCCGCGAGGACAGGCCACGCTTCGCCTACCGCCGCCTCCGACTGCAACGTCACCGCCCCGAGTCGCCGAGCCAATGTAGACGTACCTTGATGCATCCCGGGTCCCGGCAACCTTTTGGGTGGAGGTAGCTGCGCTCGCATTTGTACGTGTTGCAGTCCACGATGGCGACGACCAGGTGACGCTGGAAGTGCTGCAGAAGCATTTGCATTTGTTCAGCTAACGTGCGCGGACGGCAGAGTGGTGCGGAAGCAATATTACCCCACACTTGGACCACCGCGTCCCTTCCCTGCGGACGGTATTGAGTTTGCGCTCGTGAGAGGTGTACATAACGATGAGGACACTTACGCGATTCGTTGACACATGCTGCTTGTGGTTGTGGATTGGCTCACGCGTGTTGAGTAGGATTGCTTACGAGGAGACTGCTATATAGCAGGAGGAGTATGACGATATGGATGGTATCGACAGTGCTAAGCTGCGTATAGGAATAGGGGACAAGGGTGTTGAACGTGCTGGTGGTGGAAAGGCAAGCTTTATACGCGGCAGACGAGACAAAGAGCAGGGTGGGGTGAGTCACGAACGGGTGTTCGCGTTGATGTGTGGCCACCGTTCTTTTATGCGGACACAGGAAGCGCTCGACCCGAGCAGTTATCTGTCCGCATATGACTCTCCCTGTCCTCCGTCCCGCCGGCTTCCCCTACAAAAATACCAGCAGCTAGTCAACAAGCGCGAGCGCGTCCCATGCTCCCCCGAATCCGAGTCGGCGGGCCATGGCTTCAGATTTCCGCCAAGAAGGCGCACGCACGCGCACGCGCTGAGATCGTGAGATTCAGGCCACTCGCTCCTGATGTCCTTGTCCGACTCGGACCCTGATTTCCTGTGCAACCACGAAGAACTGTCCGAGCCGTGCGCGTTGCCAGATACATATGCCTCGCCTCGCCTAGCGCCACGGCCTAGTAGCATACCGAGAGTACTACTGCGGGACCCCCGCTCGCTCCGACAGACGCATTTCGTGAAAACTTCCCGTCATGTGACGTGTGCCTACGCCGTGTTCTCTGCAGCCACAGGAAGCACCGTCAGATTACGGAGGCATATGGGACGAGATAGATAACCTAGGACAGTGATGGCAGGCTTCTGATTAGATGAGAGCTCCAGGTCATGCACTCCCTCGCACCTCGTCTCGTCGAATCCGAAGCGGGTGCAGAGAAGAGAACAAAGTTCCGCCCAGGCAGGTTCACGCCAACGTTCGTCTTGTGCGGAGCTGCAGCTTCCCATCCCGGTGCTCGCGTCGCACGCCACCCGCACACTGCAGCACGGGCGATCTGGACCCTGCCATGTGCAGTGGAAAACGCGGGAAGGCGTCACGTTCGGAGGAGCGCACGCAAAAGCTCATGCAGCTCACACATGCATCACGCCCGGTTCTGCTGCTCGATCACGAAGAACGTGCCTTTCGATGACGCCGTCGTCGCAACGCGCGCGGGACGAGAGTCCAGCGGAAGACGCAATGCTGTGTCGCGAGTGTCCCGTCGAATAGATTTTCCGAAACACGACGGTATAGATCAGTAGGCGCGCATCCCGTCATCCCTGCATGCGCGGCGTTCTATCAAACGCTTGGGCAATCTGGGGCATCGTTCTCAATCAAAAGAAACAGACCTCCTGTGGGAACGTCAGCAGTCTTCATGCGACCATCTACAGGTACTGTTCCCGAACTGATCCTGTCCAAGTGGTGAGTGTAGCGGGTTTGCATCGACTCTAGAAGCGGCTCTTCGAATTGTTATCGCCGCACACCCCTGCTCGTCATACTGAAGCTCGTGGTCTCAATGTTGCCCAATAATTCCATAAACGAGGTGTGGCGGCTCAGCATGCCGAGCTATTGTAAAGGCAAGCCGGTTTCGAAGGTAGGCACATCGCGCCCAAAATCATCCACTGTCAGCCATGGAAAACAAGGAAGCAAGAACACAGGCGTGCCCTCTCAGGCGCCCCCATCCGTGTACTCGTCTGTAGCGTGGTTATCTATCGATAGGCCTGAGCCCGCTCGGATCTAGCGATCAAATTGACCAGCGTGCACACCGTCGGAACAGCGCGGAGGCAGATACGCCTCCTTTCCTCTTCGGACTTCCTCTATCTCTCGGTCGCGGTGCTGAGTCCGGCATCGAAGCACGACAATTTGCATAAAAGTGCCGACGCGAAGAATCAGTGGTACGCCAGAGCCTATGCTAGCACGCTCGGGGTGCCTCAGATACGACTCGCGCACGACACAGTGTCGATGGGCGACGGCGCCCCGCGCTGGTCCCGCTCGCTCTGCGCGTCCTGCCATCTCCATCGATGTCCGAGAAAGACGAGATTTCGCGCAGATCATGCTGGCGGTGTCTACGCGCGATACGCCTACCGTAGGCGAGCTGCGCTCCACGGTTCTGATACCGACTGTGCAGGTAGATTTAGAGCGATAGTGCAAGGTTCGCCTGGATGACAGTAAAATAGCGTCATCCGTGCGCAACCAGGCATGACAAGACGGACAGAAGATGTCGGGACAGAGTTTGACTAATGACACCCATTGTCAGCCGACGCACGCCTGCAGGCAGGCCGTAGACCCGGGGAGCGATCAGCTAGAGTTCATGCTGACACGCAGAGACCGACCCCGGTACCGGTGCCCCCAGAGTGATAGTAGAGTTCAGCCATCCCGAGTTTGGAGAAACGTCTAGGACAGATCGCAGTCCGTGAATCGCAAACACTCGCACCTGCGTCCGCGGTGCACTGCTGCTAGGGTCCCTTCCCGCGCGCTCCGATGACCCATACTTACAGGTTGCCTTGTCGAGCATTCCAAGTAAGTATGTAACTCCGTGCCTTGGACCACACTCGTGTTCGGCAGCGCTTGGTCTATGGCGGCACCTTCTCCCGCACCGGCGACACAACAGCGATCTGGACAACGATCGAGGCCATACCACTCTCGGCGAGATTACAGACCTGCTACGCCGCGGCATCAGATTCACTTCAGTTCACTCATAAGGCCCATATGTCAACGCTAGCGGGCGCTTCGGGTCTTTCCCTGGAATCCTTGAGTCCCATGATTGGTCAGGCGAGCGAGCGGGCCTGCTAGCAGCAATACAAGTGGCACATATCCGCATGACACATACCAGGCCTTTCCCTCTACCAGGCTTCCAAAACACCTCCTTGCGCAGAAGACTGCCAGAAGTACAAGAAGCGCGAGAAGCACTCACAGCAATAGATCGCGGCGGCTCTCGCGCGAACGAACGTGCCGCACAGCTCCTCGGCAACGCTGGGGAGCCGAGGGCATCCTAGTAACGCGGGCAAGAGAGGGCTAGTCTCACACTTTGCTTCCGCGCGCGGGCGTGGCTCGGGCGATCGCGAGTCAGCTGGTCTTTTTGTCAAGCGGGGCGATGACGAGAGGGGCCCGGTGGCACGGTTGAGTTCGGTCGATGTGAATAGATTAGATGGCCGGCATCAGGGCGTCCGGCCGTACAGACACCAGCGCGATTTACGTGGACAAAAGTACGTAGAGCAGGGACGGCGGTATCGAAGGAGTCGCGGTCACTGTGCCTGAGGCTCCGGCGCAGGCGTGTGATCTTCCTGTCTGGCTGCAGATGTAGGCGTTGGACCGACCCTGGCGATGGCGATTTTGCGCGTGAGGCAGTTGAAGACGCTCCCGAAGAGGAGCGCAATCAGCGTGCAGCTCAGGATTATGACGTTGTATGGCATGCTGAAGTCCGGAGTGGCTAGGTCGACTAGCAAAATTGAGGTATAGATCCGTCGAGGCCGGACAAGCGAACCCTGAATTGTCCCTGCAGGCTGAGAGACAGTGTGGTTCTGGCTGGCAGTCTCGCCAAAAGCGAAGGGTACTAGTACCGCCGGAGGTAGATCCCAGCCTCGTTGAGCATCAGGCTGGTGTTCGGTGTATCGCAAGAAGGGTTTCAAAACGTCCATCGTGAGGTGCAACGTGCTGCTGGGCGGCAGCGTCAGGACGGCCTGTAGGAGCGCTGGTCGGGAATGAGGGACCGGAGGCATGTAAGACAGGATGGACACGAGGTCATCTATAGTCAAGTGCGTCATAATAGTTAGTCAAGATCCTGTCTTAGGTGCGCGAGATGAATACACAGGGTCAAGAGACTGGTATGTGTCCCGAACCCGCGCTCTGTCTGCAATAATAGACTCACCACGTGCTGCGCCATTGACGGACGCCTTGAGTGTATGAAGGTAGAACTGGAGATGCCACGGCATAGTCTCGAGATAGCCAGTGCTGACTTGCACAGGTAAATTGTTCGTGATCACTAATGTAAGCTGGGCCTCGGCTTGGCTCGTGCCCTTCAGGGTTCGACGCACAGAGACATCTGTGAGAGGAGGTACCTTAGACGTATTTGCTGGGCGACGGCAAGGTTTCGGAATGTGAGGATTAGATCCAGCTAGTACGTGCGCTATGGCGTGGCTGTACGCACGATATTCGAAACTGCCTTCGGTGGGCCACCGTAAGGCGACGTCGAGCGCTTCATCGCCTGTAACTCATACAGTCAGCTCTCCTACCATGACAGGCGCCCAGCATCATAGGCCACTTACTAGCGTCAACAGCATATGTCGCGACGCTATCACTAATGCCGGTCGGCTCTGGCGTGATCGAGTACGGGGATGGTCCGTGAGGGAGCTCCACCCGGACCTTGCTGGAGTGAGCAACGGGGCATGCCCTCTCGATACTGCGGTCAAATGTCGAGCGAAGCGACCAGTCTGAGCAAGCGTTCAGTAAAGCTCCCAAGGACTTCGAGCAGATCGGGGAGCGAGAATATGCCCATTGCGGGCTTAACATATAGCAAGCGGATGGGATGCAGGATGGCTTTGTCTGCAATTGCAGTAGCAGTAGATCTTACGGCAGCAGAAGACACATCTTCATCAATTACACCCCCGTCTGCGCCAAACCGCGGGGTCAATGTCGCGCTACGCGGACACAACACGTCATGCGCATGATATCCTCCACACAGATAGCACCAAGATAACGTTCACAGCGGGACGCACTTTCTCTACTCACCTCGACGCCTGTCGTTGGACGAGCGGACAGGGTCGAAAACAGCTTGGAAAGTCAGGCGTACTTCCACACCCGCGTCCTCACGATAGCGCACGTGCACCCCGAGTCCATGCCAATCAGCATCAAACATGCGATGGGGGTTGAGCAGGCTAGCGATGCCGGAGAGTGACTTGCAGGGTAGGAGCTTCAAGAACGGTGTCAGGTTCTCTGTGCAGACGTGTTCTGATGGGAGGGTCGCATGCCGGAGTCGATGAGGATATGTGAAGTTAGGGAGAGATCCTTCGGGTTGGAAGGTGAGGGAAGGCGAGGTTGTACGTTGTTCATCCAGATGCCCGAGGGACGCGCAGAAGAGGCCGGCAAGCGCGTTGCGCAAACCCTGCCATCGCTGATCAACGCTTTCAAGACAATAAGATGTCGAGCATCGAATGACAGAGGAGTAGACGCACGAGGTCTGAGTACTATCCCCCATCCAAGCCCACAACTCCGCACCTGTACCAACCCCCGGCTCGTCCGGATATCCCCAAGCTTCGTAGTTCCACCTTCCAGCATTGAGACTTAAGTGAAGCTCTGTTACCGCGTGCTCGCGAAGTACTTGACCGAGTGCAAGGGGGAATAGGGTGTAGTGCTGCGCTATCGAGGAAGTGAGGACTTGGGCAGGTGAGGGACGCGAACTCAGCACGTACCTTCGTCGTCAACAGATAACAGTTGTGGATCCCTGGGAGTCGCGCCCTTCAGCAGAGTTGTAAACGAGAAGCGCGATAAGAGCTTCCCATCGCGCAGTGGCCGAAGGTGCAAGTCCTCGTCGAACTGTTCATGCAGTGCGAACGCGGTCGCGACGTGAAACGCCAGCAATAGGGAAGTCTTTGAGCAGATATTCCAGCGCATGAAGTCATCAACTATAGGCGTGTATCTTTTTTGAGCTTTTATAGTGTCCCCAGGGCGATAGTATCAGCTACTAGGAGCGTGGCAAGAGAGTACGAGCACCGAGTAGCACCAAAGGGTACAGGCTCAAGGAGCGCCCATGACGCTACCCCACTCAGGCGTCTACATTACCAAATTCGCAAATTAGCCCGATCTTCAACAGCTCTGCTTCGAGCCACGACGACCATCGACCTCCGGTGGGTCCTCTCCGGCAACTGGAGTGCTCCTAGCAATTTTCTGACTGAATGTACGATAATACTTGGCTCTGTAAGCCCGGCTTGTATATGTTGACCGAAGCCCCAATTCTGCTCCCATCCTTCCCCGGAACAAAAATCAGCACCCATCAGGAACTCGATAGGCTCCGCTAGCCAGATCCCTTCGGTGAGAATATCAGTTCCAAATGCTGTCTACGATGCGTACTGGGTCTTTTGTCTGATACACTCCACAGCGAATAGAGAGTATGGCTAATTTCTCTGGCAGGAAATTTACCGTCGACGTCTCTAGTCCCGCTGAACCAATATCCCGTGCATCCCGACGAATCGTTATCAACAGTGACATTTTGAAGCAAGCTAAGATATACGCTGGCGAAGTAATCGCAATATCATCCGCGGAATCTCCTAAGGTACAAATCCGGCGTTTTTCTCTCGCTTTGTCGTGCTCGAATGTCCTGCAAATCAAGCACGAGCCAACTGATTGAGCTTACTATTCTCGACAGAATTTTGCTGTTGGTGTCGCATGGCCTTCATCAGAGCTATCACAGGATTGTAGGTACATCTGACCCTGTACCACATGAGCGCGACGTGGGATTCTTTCAGGACAAGGTCCTCATGCTCAACTCCGACTTTGTATTGTCAGCTATCTTCGTCTCTCCGCCATTGCTGTTGACCGCACGGGTCTCGCAAGGATCGAAGGTCAATTTGTTCTCTTTGGACGCTCCAAAGGTACCACCAAGTATCCCGTCCCTTCGGCACGCGAAACCTGCGCAAGTTATACGAGTGAAGGAAGTTTCCGGAGAACAAACCAGTTCAATAAGCTCTTCGAAGGAATTCATTAGAACTGCTGAGGCTCGAAAGAGTTCACGACGGAACTGGCTTACATTGCTCATTCGAGAAGCACTTAGTGAGTGCTCATCCAATCTATTCCCGCCTGTATACTATTTCTAACACCGGGACTGATTGGTTTGCGTTCTAGTTGATCTCGGATACCTCACACCAACGCAAACTATTGATGTCCTGTACGAGGGTCAAACCCGCCGATTCTCTGTGTCGTCCGTATCAACCAACCATGAAGCAGAACAGCCGCCTGATATAGCGGACGACATTCAGTCGTTATCGCTGTGCGATACACCGCCGAAACTGTGGACAGTCGGCTGGGAAACAGCAGTTATCCTTGACACAGAGAGTTCAAAGACCGGAGAAGAATCACATTCCGGCATCAGTAAAGTATGTTTCGATATAGAACGCAATCATTCGGCTCAATGAAGTTCTTCTCAACTCATGTTCATGCGTTACGTATCCAGGACTCTATGAATGCTGTCGAACGCGGGGTGGAGAAGGATGCCTACTCAGCTGTGGGAGGTCTCGACAAACAAATAGCGCAAATTCGGGACCTAATAGAGATCCCTCTTACCCGCCCTGAACTCTTCCGCCAATTCGGTCTGTACCTCGCATTCCTCTGTGCCACATCCGCATGACCTGACACTTCGATCCTCCACCATCATATATCGTATTCCCATGCCATGATCCTGATTCTACTGGTGCTTTTCTACTTCTGCTTCTCCCGGTAATTGCCCTGCTTCTTGTCTCCGCATCGTACGACCTCCGGGTTGTCACGGCAGGGCTCAAGCCCCCCAGAGGCATTCTGTTACACGGACCCCCGGGCACAGGAAAAACCCACCTCTCCCGCGCGATAGCGGCCTCAACTGGGTCCGCCGTCCTCATCGTCAATGGACCTGAGCTTTCTTCCGCGTATCACGGTGAGACCGAAGCAAAGATTCGCGACGTCTTTGCAGAGGCTCGTTCACATAGCTCGTGTATTGTTGTGCTCGACGAAGTTGACGCGCTCTGTCCTCAACGCGAAGATGGGCCTGGGGGAGAGGTCGAAAAACGTGTCGTCGCCCAGCTGCTCACGCTAATGGACGGCATGGACGAGGGCAAGGATGGCTCTCAAGGCAAAGTCGTCGTCGTCGCAACGACGAATCGTCCGAACGCCATCGATCCTGCGCTGCGACGTCCCGGACGCTTTGACAGGGAGATAGAAATCGGTCAGCTTTCTCCTCGATGCGTCCGCCTTTCCTCCGCATACTCACGGGCTTGCAGGCATACCCGACGCCGAAGCGAGGTTCTCTATCCTTAAGGTGCTCCTATCCAAAGCGCCCCACGCCATCACCGAAGAAGACCTCCGGTCTGTGGCATCGAAAGCCCACGGTTACGTTGGTGCCGACTTGAGCGCAGTTGTCCGCGAAGCAGGTACCTTCGCGATCAAGCGTTGGCTCGCATCCCAGCCGTCCGCCGACACGACCCCCCAGCTAGCGGTCACCGACCTTCTCATCGCACTCCCAAGCGTACGCCCGTCGGCACTCCGTTCTCTTTTCCTGGATACTGTCCCAGTCCGATACTCGGATATCGGTGGCCAAGCACAAACTATTCAAAAACTGCGAGAGTGCGTGGAGTGGCCATTGTTGCACCCAGAGGCTTTCGCTCGACTCGGGGTGCGTGCACCCCGTGGTGTGCTGTTGTACGGTCCGCCCGGATGCAGCAAGACGCTACTAGTGAGGGCATGTGCGACGGAGAGTGGAGTCAACTTCCTCGCAGTCAAAGGCCCAGAAGTAAGATCTCATATTCATGTGACTCGTTTCAACATATGATGAACTCCAATGCACCTAGCTGCTCAACAAATACGTCGGAGAGTCTGAACGCGCAGTGCGGGACATTTTCCGGAAGGCACGGGCCGCTGCACCATCCCTCATATTCTTTGTAGGTGCATCTTCACCCACATAGCAACCGGTTCATGCTCAAGCCAAGCGACGTAGGATGAGATTGATGCACTGGCGGCTTCCCGTTCCGTGTCAGACTCGAGCGGCGGCGCCCACGAAGGTGTTCTGACTAGTCTCCTCAACGAGATGGACGGGGTGCAAGAGCTCGTTGGCGTCACGATTGTCGCGGCAACAAATCGACCAGATGTCATCGTGGGTCCAGTTTGGTTTGTTGGATGTCAACGGCTTACAAATCATGTTCAGGACGCGGCATTGATGCGCCCAGGAAGGTTGGATCGCGTTCTCTATGTTGGACCTCCTGATCTCGAGGGACGCGTAGAGATTCTCCGCATTCGCACTCAAAAGATGAGAGTGGAAGCCGATCTGGATCTAAGGCAGATCGCAAAGATGGTGCGCCCCCGTGCGTTGCTGGTGCATAAGAGAGCTTTTCACTGTAACCTCTCGTCTACGTAGACCGAGGGATGTTCTGGCGCTGAGATGACCGCGTTGTGCCAGGAAGCGGCGCTGTTGACCATGAAGGCGGACATTGACGCTCCTTTTGTGGGCATCGGTTCATTGTCATCGCCTTAGCTATAGATACTGACTATTCTAACGCGCGAGCAGGTCCCCCAGTCGGCATTCTTGGAGGCAGCGAGGAACATCAAGAAGCAGATTACACCTGAGGTGGTTCGATCATACACCTCGTGGAGAGACAAGAATGGCGCGACGGACGCTTAGCCTCGCGGAAATGCATGTAATCCTGTTCAACTTCTTGTATTACTGTAGATTGTGCTTGTGTCATTCATACGAATAAGCCCAGACAGGGACTGCTCAACGAGCGGTGTGACGTAAGTGTGTCACGAACCTCTAAGCCGGCGGCAATTTGAGGTTCAACTGCGCAGTGCCTACTGCTGCGTCTGTGGCATCCAGCCCAATTAGCTTCCACCACAGACGACTGCACTCATAGTCCCCGGAAAGCTACGTCTCTCTCTATCGCGCGGTCGATAACAGAGCTCGAATCATCGCTCGAACGATATCTATGCGGTCTCAGGTAAGGATCATGATACCCCTCAACTCTCGACTCGTAATTCGTGGGCGACTGACTTCACATCTTGGACACAGTCGCAGCGAGGTAGGAGTGCCAAGAATACAACTGTCAACAGTGAAACTCAAATCAGCGATCATGTAGACTATAGCAGTTGACCACCGGTTGCAAGGGATGCTTCGGAAAGTGCACCTGTACTCTAACACGCTGGTTGACTGGTTCCTGTCAATCGGTTGCCCGCAGAGCTCCTTGCTACGATTTACAAGCACGTCATCACTTTCCTCGGTGGACCACCTTCACTCTCATATCTCTCTGGCTCTGGAAGATTCTTCGACCCTCGGGCCATTTTCGTCCTCATGCACGTTTGTCGATTGTGGCGCGATATGGCGGCGGGGGGATGCGCGGCATTCTGGAGCCATATCGACCTGGACAAGTCGCAGTGTTCAGTGGACACCTTTCTGCGACGTTCTCCATGGCCACCTCTTGTCTTTCGCATTTCCGTGGACAAGCCAGGGGTCGGTCCGAAGCTTGGGCTGCTGAACGACTGCGGTGCTCGCATCCGAGCCTTATACGTCACGTGTGGCCAGTGGAACTCTTCGCCATCTCTCAACGATATTGCTCCGCGACTGAGCTTACCTACCCCACAAATTGAATGTCTAGTGATAGCCCTGCAGGGAGAAGCCAGTGGGGAAGAAATCACTGAAGGGATCCTGCGAAGCGTCCCCAATGCGCAATTCAAGGCACTCGCACTCGATTCTGCACGTTCCCGACTCATCTCCTTGCCCACAGACTCTTTCCCACATCTAACGCATCTTCTCATATCTTCCTCCCTTGTCGAAATCAGTGGATCCACATTGGGGCCTCTCCTCAACTTGATGATAGGCGCACCGATGCTGGAGCATATCAACTTGACTCTGACACCATCGACGTCGTTGACGTGGCTGTCGGAAGAGCCGCTCCCTTCCGGGGTCCTGAAATATATCCGATCCCTCACACTCAATGGATGCCACATCGAGATTGCTTTCTATCTACTAGAGCATCTGACCTTGCCGCCAAGTGCTCTGCTTTCCATCAACGATTCCTGGACAGTATGCGACCTCTGGGTAAACCCGGAGTCGCTCCACATCCCACCGCTCCCTCTGTTCCAGAATTTAGCCTTGGTCAACTAGACGGAGGACAATTCTCAAATGATATCTGGGTTCCTGATCAACGCAGGAAGCGTTTACAAATGGGTCAGATGGGTAGGGCTATCGCACACGGCGCTCCCATACTCCCAAATCCAGGTTCTACACCTCTACCTCAGGGACCGGCTTGCAAGTTCCCTCCTTGGATCTCACATCCTCCCCCATTTCATCCACCTCAAGGACTTTCTGCTCCTGTCACCTCGAAGCTATCAAGAAGAGGACAAGACCCTCACGCTGCTGGGAAAAACCTGCGTGACGCTGACCCGACTCGGAACCAACCCGATTGTATGTCCCGAGCTCCGCGTACTTGGCTTGCAAATGAGCGTAGCCTACGATGCCTTCCCCTTTTCCGACCTCGTCTCTATGGCGGCTACACGCTTCACGCAGGTCACCCCCTGTCTCGCTTCTTCTACCAACTCCTCGACAAGCAATCGACGACGAGGAGAGTCATACGCTGTTCTCCCATTCGATCTCTTCGTTGTCCGCATTTGTAGACTCGGTAGAGTACCTGCATTCGGACGAGGAGAGACTGTGCGCGTTTCAGATGCGGGCATGTTGTAATATCCCGGAGGCGGAAAAGTATTGGTCAATGCCGAAGAACGTTGACAGGAAGCCCAAGTACGGGTTTCGATGAGTCGGGTAATCTGACAGCAAGCCTGGATCGTGTGGGACACATTCATCCACATAGCAAGCCAAGTTGCCCACAAGGTTGCTCATTACTCTTGACACAGGGATCAGAGACCGATTGCGACGCTGGCGAGCTGAAGCGTCGAATTGACATGGGCGGGCATGCAGAACGGATTGTATCGTGCCTTGCTCATGACGGTTGTCTCGCATCAGCTGTCTCGCATCTGTCCATGAATCTTATGTGAATGTCGCATGTCGAGTCTATGCCAAGTCTATAGAACGTGAATGGATGCTACTCTAATCATATCCGAGAATGCGTGCCAGATCGTAACGGGTGAGATACCCGAGATCATCAAACCATATCCGCGCCCTCCTTCTCCCCCGCCGGCTTTTCTGGCCAATCTTCCTCATGTCTTGACCGCACACGAACCTTCTCATCCCTCGCCTCCTCCACGACCTCGCCCACGGCGCCTTCCACCTCTCCATTTCCGGCCGCAGCACTTTGCTTCTCCGTCGTCGCAGCCGCCGCCGCTTCTCGCTCGGCCTGCTGCCGTGCGAGGACATGGCTCTTGCGGAGCTCGAAGCCGCCCTGCCAGCCGAACCACGTATAGCGCGGGCAGTGCGGCCCGCGGAGGAAGAGGATGAAGAACGTGAAGCCCGTCCAGGCGAGGTTGAGCGACGCGTCGGGGCGCCACCCGTGCTCCGTGAACACCTTCGAGCCGACGGCCGTGCCCATCACTTGCCCGATGAACAGCTACACGCGCGCATATGTACGTCAGTATTCCACGCGCATGCACAAGGGACGGAGGGGCAGGGATGCGTACCGAGAGGATGAGGACGGCGTTGAGCCGCGAGCGCGCGGACGCGTCGAGGCCCAGCACGGCGGTCGTGAGCGACACCTGCTGCGTCTGCCGGAAGACGTCAAGCCCGATGCACACGATCACGACGACGGCGACGTTCAGGCCGACCGCGGCCGTCTGGATCGAGAATGTGATGAGGAGCATGATCATCGCGAAGAGCGTCGCAGACCAGGGAACGAGCCCGTCGATCGTGCGCCCGATGAGGGGCGCCATCGCGACACCGACGATGCCTACTACGCCGAAGAGGCCAATCACCACCCTAACGCAAAAGTGCATGATGAGTGAGTGTGATCGATACTCCGCGCATTAGAGGGGCGAACACTCACGTCGAGTAGTTGTACGGGGGACCGCCGAGGAGGAAGGTGAGGGTAACCCACCAGTTCGTGAAGGTCGCGCTCGACGGGATGCTGATCAGTATGGCCTGCACGAGCAGCGGTTCGGTGACCGCGAACTTCGCCATGCTGTACAAGATCCCGAAGTAGGTCGCTCCCTTGTTCTTTGCGGGGTAGTCGGGCAGCATCCAGTACAGCACCAGTAGAATGCCGTACTGCACGCCGATCGCGATATAGTAAACGACGCGCCAGGTGACAAATTGCGCGACGACGCCCGCGAGCACTCGCGCAACCAGAACACCTAGGAGGAGACCTGAGAGGACGATTGAAAGTGCGGAGGCGCGGCGTTCTGGCGGAGCTAGGTCGGCCGCGAGTGGCATGAGGATTTGCGGGACAACGGAGCACACGCCGACGAAAAATGAGAGAATCTCGAAGGCGACAAGGCTCTTCGTGATTGCGAGACCAATCGGGAGACTCGCAGTGATGAATGTGAGGATCATAATCAGCGGTCTTCTCCTGACGAGGTCCCCAAGAGGGGTGATGAATAGTAGACCGATAGCGTATCTGAACGGGTCGTACATCAGACGCTTCACGCCAGAGTGGAAGGCTGCTGGACTCACCCGGCTTGTACTAGCGTGGGTATGTTTGCTACTTCAGAATATGTTACTCCGAACGATATTGAGAATTGGACTGTAAGTGTATGTCAGTCGTTGCTTTGAGCCGAGTGCCGGGGCGAGATTGAGAGCGCAAAGGCTATTCTAGACGGACGCGAACCGAACATCCGAAGGAGGTCAAGGACACTCACTGAGAAGAGGTTGGCAGTAATATAGATTGCTGACGACTGTCTGCTCGTCAGCTCAGGCAATTGAGCGTGGAAGACAGACTACGTACTGAACGTGCTCGCAATCCCAAATATTACATTCATCAACAGCCCGAAATGTGCTGGGCTTTCAGGGTCATAGCGTACGCGTATTGGTATTGGCAGGAACCCAAAGTCCTTCCACTCCTCATCCGCAGCGGTGTGATTTGAGGCATCCTTCTCCTTCGAGCCGACTACTGGTGTTGTCGGAGCGGAGAGCGTCTCTGTGGTCGACGGGGCCGCGGATTCTCTTCTACTATTCAGGTGCGTCTTGGCGGCCGTGCCAGAGACCATAGTGGTGGGCAGACAGAGAGGACGGGAAGCTGGGAGAAATGCCGGTAGTGGATGCCATGATGTATGGGAGCATGGTTCTGAAATAGTGGTCGAGAAAAGCTGCTTGGACGCGCGCTCCGGCTCGGCAGGCCGTCTCCCACTCCCTTCTTGGTCATCCAACTGCCTCCATCCCTCTTATACCATTACCTGAATAAGTAAACTACCGGTCGCATAGCGTGTCGCACTTCAGTTTCGCAAAAAGCTCAGTCATGTTCTGCAGGAGGAGTCGCAGCCCAGACTTCACTAAGCAAACGATGAATCTGTCCTATGGTCCATGAGTGGGCGTCGCTCGCTCGCCAGCATCGAAGCAACCAGAGGATTCCCTTGAAATTCTTGCCATGCAACATACGGTCAACGTACGGCACAATCAGCACTCGCGATCGTGTTGCGCTGTTTACTGCGCTTTGGAGCGTTTCCGTAGCTAAATACACTATCCAATCTGGAGTTGCGTAGATATAGGTGAGGTTGCTGAAGCGGTACAGGACCTACGAGCAATCTGAGGTCTAACAAGCCGACTCCGTTGAGGAGCTGTGGACCCACGGTCGACTCGCATCCAGCTGTTCGATCTCATACCGCAAGGTGTATTCTTATCCGTGGAGATGATACAGACCCACGCGTGACATGAAGGAGAGCCTCTCGGACGGATGGATTGAGGGAAGGATGAAAATTTTAGCAGTGAAATAGTTGTACATAGTGTCGATCGACACCAACTTGGTCCAAACGAGATGGACAAGAGCCAGCTACAGTCTACAGACGCCGTGAGATTACGGCAACGCCGGGATCGCCATTGACAGCGACAACCTGCGCAGATACGTTTCTCCTGTTGGCGGTGCTCTACTCCATGTCGTGTAACGCACTCGTCTCTCTTGCCAGCCTCATTTCATTTTGCTCATATGTCCTTCTACCCCTCTGATGTCTGCCGAGGCACCTTACTTTCTTGTCCCCGCCGGTTCAGGTTCCCCCGTCCTCGCTTCGGCAAGTCCTAGCGGTCGGGCAGAGTCGTCTTCCTCTAGTCCAACGGTCTCTCCTGACTCCACTGGCAAGAAAGGCAAGGTGCAGCTATCGGCTGACCAGGCCTTGACAGCTGAAGGAAGGCCTCGCGCGCGTGTCTGCCTGGCCTGCGTACAGTGGTGAGTCTCCAACCACATGTCCTCTCAAGTCTGGCCACACGATCGACGAGACGCCTGTGTCTCGAGTAGGGAAACGGCGTGAAAAAAAACACGTCTGAGAGGCTGATGTTCCGCGAATGTTCCCTCGGTGTTCGGGGGAGTGGGGAACAAAATGTTTCCTAGGATCAGGAAAGAGGGTCTGTGTATCAAGAGAGGGGGAACTTTTACGGATACAGGCCGAAAACTTGACAAAGTACGAATATTTCTGTATTACAGTAGAGTGGCGTGGTGTTCCCGAAGACCAGAAACGCTCAAAGAGACTGCAAAGACACATAACGTTCTCGAAGAGTTCCGAAGCATTGGAACTTGAACGTGAGACGCCGGGGTGCTCTAACAAGTTTCCCTCCTCCGAGACTCCTGAGGGAACATCATATTTCTTTGAACATACCCAGTCTTTGAAACACTGTGCCACTCTCATTCGGAAATATTCTTGCTTTGCCACGCTCCCGCCTGTTGCCATGAACTTTTGCTGCAAATCTGGTCACATGTAGCCTGTTGATTGTGTTCGGAATCCAGCCAGGAAACGTATCGTTCTCCGTTCCCTCGAACACCCAGGGCACACTCGCGGGACATCAACTCGTCAGACCTGTTTAAACACTGTTTCCTATTCCGAGAACAGGCGCTTTTCCCGTCGTGTCAGGTCAGAAGCAAATGGACTTGACTGATACTGATGCCTTACTTCCTCTTCTCTCTTCCGTTTCAATCCATCTCTCTAGTCGCAAGCGCAAACGTCGCTGCGACGGCGTGAAACCGGAATGCAACAACTGCTTGAAGCGCTCCTACCCTGCAGCGGGACCGTGCTCGTATGATGCCGCCCCTCGAAGACGCGGGAGGGATCGCGCTCCCGGCTCGCGTCTCGCAGCAGCCTTCGAGCTGAAGAAGACGCGTACGACTCGTTCCAGATTTGAGGGCGAGGGGAAAGGGCCACGAAAAGAGAAGAGAGCCGTCAATGCACAACCTGCTCGGGATGCTACTCAGGAGACCTCTACGGTCTCCGCTCGAACACCCGTAGCATTACTCGTCCAGGATACATCCCGCCCCCCGGCGGTACACCGAGGACAGTCTGCCTCAACCCAAGTAATAACGGGGCGAATGGAGGAGGAAGAGCTCGACAAGTCGCAGGGGTACACATCAGTCTGGACACCGCCTGGAGTACGGTTCATCCGCGAGACCTGGTGGGATGCGCTCCTCACGCACCACTCCGGTGTGCCAGCAGGCAGCGTCATAACAGCGGATATCCGCGACAGCGCGATGCAGGCCATCTTTGCGGATCTACGATCCCTATTCAAGACTTCCTTGCATTGGCTATCCTTCGTAAACATCCCCCGCTTCTTCGCAAGCCTGCGACACCCAATTCATCGACAGGCGGTGCAACCGAGCCTCATTTACGGCGCCCTGGCGATGTCGACTTTCTTCCAGAGCTCGGAGCTCGAGATGGGTGCCAAGGGTCGAGAGAAGGCATTGCAGCTGCTCGACCGCGCACATGCGATGTTCGACGCGAGTTTGACTGCGGGGTGGATTGACCTCGGACTCGTGCAGGCAGCATGGGTGCGGCTCTGACTATGTTCTGCGCGCAAACCCCTGATCGCTGACTGTAGTGTCTCCGCGGTACGTGCACAGCTATTCGCAATGTTCGAGCTCCAAGGACACCCTGCAAATACCGCGGCGCGCGGTCGATCTGCGTTCGACATGCTTGACTCGTTGATTCGAAGTTTGTCGCTGACCATTCTGGACGTGATGGATCCACGCACCTCCGTGTTTTTGCCAGGACAGGTCCCGGTTGTCGTCTCCACGAGTGATCTTCCGAACAGTTTCACTGCTCCTCCGGCGACATTCGAACATGGGATTCCTACATCCACTCCTCGTGCTTTACATGAGGTTACCTCAGACTACTCTCCCCTACCTCCCCAAACGCCCATGGCAAACGAGGCACAACGGGGTTGCGGGTGCTCTTCTTACTCTCTGGGTACCACCTGGCCGATATCCGCCACCCTAACGCCCGCCTGGACATGCATGCCGATGTGGCCGGAGAGCGCGGGCGAGGGCGAGATGCAGAAGGAGGAGTGCAGGCGGCTCGTCTGGTCAGCCATCACATTGGCCATCACATACAGCTCGCACGCGGCGGCGGGGACGGACCAGGCCCCCAAGCATCTGTGGATCCAGGATGCGGCGAACGTGAGTGTGTTGCGCGTTGCGTTTGACGTGTCTCGGTCGTACTGAGCGTCTTGCCGGATTTGTAGTATGCGCTCCTGTTCCCTGGGGAGAGCCTGGTCCCCCCGGGGACGACCGCGTTGCCGTTCTCGAAAGAGTCAGTGTGGGCGCTGTACATGCGCGTGCAGTTCCTCTGGCACAGCGCCATGCGCCAGCGCGGAGACCCGAGTTTGTCGAGTTCGGACCGCGCGGCGTACGCGATGAGCGCGTGGCTCGAACTCGATCACGTGGAGGAGTGTATTGGTCGACATTCATGTACCCCGGGGTCGGGGTTCAAGACGCAGCTCCTTGAGATGCTCTTCAAGTCAGTCTTGCCGTACTGCTGGATGCACGAGTTGAGGGGCTGATGTAGTCTGGGGCTCGTAGCACGCGGATGGTCGTCTCGCATGAGTTCAGGAAGTATATCCCTGAGGCGAAAATGTCAGTGACTATTTTGCTTTCGTCCCGTGGTAGGTTCCTGACGATGGCTCCAAATTCAATCAGCGCCTCAGGCCTGTATTTCTACAGAGAGAAAGCCGAACGTTGGAGTGAGTCTACCGAGTAGATTCGACTCTTGTGTCAGTACTCACACTGAGACATAGTGAACCACGCCCTCGGAAGCGCACAGCATGTCATGCAATCAATGAAAGACTGCGCTCCTTCGTCGAATAATTACACCCGACGATGCTTCATGATGTACTGGTACATGTCCCAGATGACTCGGTATGTATGTCCTCTACTTCATGAGAGGCCGATACCTAAGATGTCTGGAACAGAGCTCTGTCGCTCTGGGAGGCGGATCCGACGCTGCTAGTCGCATTGACGGTCGCCAAGGCATTTGCGCCATGCGTCGAGTTCATGATGATGATATGGCCTTCACCCAGTACGTCACGTCCCTACGGCTTTCGCGCTACGTGCCGCCTGCAGACCCCACTTATAACAAATTTTCAGGCCAGCGCATTGAGTACCAAGAACTCCGCAACTGGCTTGTTCGCTCTTGTATGTCTGCTGGCGTGGCTCTGCCAGATCGGGCGATACCTATTGTTCTACCCACGCGATTCGACAATCCTTCCTAACAGCGACCTGTATAGGCCTCGACGTAAACAATCTGAGCGTAGGACATGTTCGTTCCCAACGCATGATCCTAGGGCTACGCTCTCATAGGTTATGATAAATTGGCACTGTTCTTTGGGGCCGAGTCCTTGGTATCTGACCTCAATCAAGTCCCATCGTGCATCCAATCGGTCGTTGGCCGGAATGACTGAGTCTAAAGCAGCGCGACGGGCACCTCTCCGACTTCCGCTAGAATGTAGCGATCGGTCTAAATGATCGGCTATCGCTAATCTGGAACTCAGGTCTTCGCACCACGTACTACGTGAACCCTTAGATATCGGATGAGGAAGCACCTACTCAGAGGTGCACCCACCGCCCGTGTATAAGTTTGCTTCGCCTTGTTAGCTGCTATATTTTTGAGCAAACGAAGCGAACGCTTTACTGCCTGACGCCCCTCTGGCGCTGCGTTATGCCCAGCCTCAGTGCTCCGGCAATACATGGGACCCGGGCCGGACGCTACCCCAGACGGAAGATCTCAGACGCCGCCCTCCCCGCACCCCGCACATAAGTTGCAACTGCCGGCCATCATGCTCTCCGAGTTCCCCCAGACATCCTAGTGCACCCCTCTGGTCTTCTCCTCCCATATCTTCTTGGTCTTGCTCAAGGCTAGCATGGCGTCATTCCAAGTGAACAATTTGTTCGGTGTCACGGGCAAGGTTGTGCTTGTCACAGGAGGAAGCCGTGGAATCGGCAAGATGGTGCGTGTCGTCATAGCATTTCAGGGCCAGGAGCTGGATGTCGCCTTTTCTTACTCACTGTGCCGCTTGCTTTTTGACCACTAGATCGCGACAGGGTTTGTTAGGAATGGCGCAAAGGTACGTCGTCCTCTCCGTGCCTTCTGCATTCGTTCAAATGCGAGGCACAACGGCCAACTCCTATGATGTGGTGCTTACCCGCGACCTGTATTAGGTCTACATCTCCTCGCGATCTGCGAAAGACTGCGCTGCGACCGAGAAGGAGTTGAACGAGCTCGGTCCCGGCCAGTGCGTTTCAATTCCTGCCGACATGCAGAAGCTCGAGCAAGTCGACTACCTCGTCGCGGAGCTCAGCAAGAGGGAGAAGGCGCTGCATGTCCTCGTGAACAATGCGGGCGCGGCGTGGGGCGAGACCATCGACGACTACCCCGTGCGTCTCTCCCTCCCGTCGGCATCTCCTCTCGTACTCGACTGAGCGCGCAGCTGACACCCGCCCCGTCGTTCGGTAGGACTCTGCGTGGACGAAGCTCCTCACCCTGAACCTGCAACGCGTCTTCAACCTTACCCAGAAGCTCCTCCCTCTCCTGCGCGCCGCGGCTGAGCAAGGTGGGCAGGAGAATGGCGCGTGGCGCGACCCCGCGCGGATCATCAACGTATGTGGCCTATCCCCGATCACATCTAGATCTCGAGATACTCCCCTCACACTCCTCTCTCGCAGATCGGCTCGGTCGAGGGCCTGGTCGTGCCCAACCACGAGACGTACGCGTACTCGGCGAGCAAAGCCGCGCTGCACCACCTCAGCCGGAACCTGGCCGGCCGGCTCGGGCACGAGGGCATCACGAGCAACACGCTCGCGTGCGGGCCCTTCCAAAGCAAAAGTGTGTCTTTCCCCCCTCTCTCCCTCTGAGTTGCATTCACCTGACGCGGTGCTCGTCGGCAGTGATGGCGCAGACGTTGCGGGAGCAGGGCGAGATCATCCGGGCGAGTATCCCGCTCGGGCGGATCGGCTCGCCGGAAGACGTCGCGGGCGCGTCTGTGTTCCTTGCGAGCAGGGCGGGGTCGTTCATCAACGGCGCGACGATTGCTGTAGACGGCGGCAGTGTGGTCAGGATGGGCACTATCGGATCGAAGCTCTGACGCAACACGTCTCGTGTTTGACTCCATCAATTGTGCCCGCGGTTGCGCCTGCATGTCGAATATGCGCTAATATCGTACTTCCCGAGGCCCTATTCTTGCAGCGCCTTGAATGTATTCATAAGGTCACCAGTTTCTTCAAGGCGTCTATCGTAGGCGACCAGCCGAATTGCCTGTCCTGCTGCTAGTCCCATAAAGGTAACTCTGACGCCCTGTGGATGGGTACGGTTGAAGTCTCCCAACTATGAACCCTGCTCCGACTCGAGACCGACCATAACATGACGACATCGTTGCTGTTGTGAGCCGTATGTTTTTTTCTCGACTACATGTCTGATCCAACGCCGAAGGTAGACCTGTCTGCTGAGGCGTCTCAGATTACTCTTATCTTCTTTGTTTGCGTCTCTGGGAACAGTTCTTGCCAGCAGGTCAAATTTGTTCCCAAGGTCAATTCAATCCGTGCGTACGCCAATCAAGGAAGATCAGAGCGGGCGTTGGCTCTCATCATTTATGCGACCGATGTAGCAAAGTGAGTCCCATGATAAGCGAAGTTCTGACTGCAACAACCTCGTGTAGGGAAGCTGCCTTGCTCGTGAACCCTCTAAAGGTCGTCCCACAATGCCATACGTGCTACCGCATCTAGACAACCTCTTGCGCGTCCCCCTCTCGTCGTCCTTCCCCTCTACCTCGCTATCCCGCCGGTCCATTCGCCTCAACGACCACATTCGTCCGTTCGTAGATGAATATTTTGCTCAGCTCTGCTCCATTGACGTCAACGATATCTTCCCTAGGGTAAATCTTGTGAAGGCTCCATAGTATGCGTGTCCTCAACACCGAAACCCTATTATTCGAACGGATCGATCCCGCGAAGACGGACTATGCCATCTTGTCGCACACCTGGGACCACAAGAACGGCGAGCAGACTTACGAACAGCTAAGGAGGATTCAGGCGCGATACACTCCAGAGCCCTCGCCCCCTACTCAGAAAGGCGTTCGCACTAGCAAACCGCCGCCGCCGCCGCCGCCGCCGCCGTCCACCGCTGTACCTGCAGCCAGTTCATCTTCTGCCACCCCTTCCGTACCCAGGGCCTCCACCGCCCCCCTATCGGCGGTACCCGCTCCTCCTTCTGCTGCACCTCCGAACGAGCATACGGCGCTACTCGCTGGTCGTATTGGCTCAGGGGGACAAGACGTCTCTGTAGCAGATGTTTCCCCCGCCGATGTCAGGTGGTCGCGCCTGAGCGGTCTGTGGAATAAGCTGCTACAGTCCCTACGTCTGGTCATAGGTCCCATAGCGCGCCTCATCGAGCTGTTAGGGGATGTCCCTCAATCCGATCCGCCGTCAACTACAAGTACTCGAGAACCCGTTCTCGCTCGTATTGTCGTCCGCGACATCGTAGCCTCCCCTGTCGAAGAGTCCTCCCCAGCCCCTCCGGCTCCTCCTGCCCCTCCTGCCCCTTCTCTTGCCCCTCCGACCCCTGCTCCTGCCCCTCCGACACCTTCTCCCGGGAGTCGTGTGCGGAGATATCCTGACAGCATTTGGGACGATCCGGACCTCGCACCGAAGATCAAGAACGCATGTGCGGTCGCACGCAAGGCGGGCTACCACTACATCTGGATCGACTCGTGTTGCATCGACCAGAAGAGCAGCTCCGAGCTCTCCGAAGCGATCAACACGATGTTCACGTGGTACGGACAATCGCTCATGTGCATCGCGTACCTCGCAGACGTCCCCCCTGTCACCAAGTACAGCAATCGGGCATCGGATTTCCAACAGAGCCGGTGGTTCACGCGCGGGTGGACGCTCCAGGAGCTCATCGCACCTGTCGACGTGGACTTCTACTCCGCGGACTGGCAGCTCATCGGGTCGAAGCACGAGCTGGCCGACGTAGTCGAGGAGATCACCGGAATCACCTACGAGGCGTTGTTGCACCTCAAGCCGCTTGAGGACTTCTCAGTCGCTCAGCGTTTCTCTTGGGCGGCCAGGAGGGAGACCGAGAGGATTGAGGACCGGGCGTACTCGCTCATAGGGTTCTTCGATATCAATATGCCCACCCTCTATGGTGAAGGCAGACGGGCATTCCGACGCTTGCAGGAGGAGGTCATGCGGCGAAATCCGGACCAGAGCCTCTTCTCTTGGGGATACGTCCTTGAGAACATGGATCTCTACCGGGAGATGGAAGCTAACTGCACTGAAGCGGAGAGAGATCTGAAGTGCGAACCGCTTAAAGCAGGCAAGGGGTACACTGCGAGATCCGACAAGAGAGCAGGCTACACTGACAGCCAGGAAAGACTGTCCTTTTTCGCCGCCGATCCCCTTGACTTTGTGGGATGTAGTGACGGCATCAAATACATTCCACACGAGCAGGTTGTTCGCCGCCTGCAGTTCCCATTTGACTCCCCGCTTGACTACACCCACACCCCACATGGCATCCGCACACAGCTGTATGTCTTACCCGTCCCCGCTTATCTGCCTTCGATCGCACCGTTCTTCGAGACTCGCTACATCAAACGCTCAGAGGCTGCCCACTGGTATCTTGCGATCCTTGGCTGCGAGCACAGCCTCTATCCTGGCCACCTTCTCGGGAGATTGTGTCACATACCACCTCAATCAGGTATAGACTTCCTGGAAGCGGGCAATCTTGCTTGGCATAGGATTCGGGACGAACAAATCCATGGAAATTGGGCTGACCTGTTACCTCTGTCGCCAGCGGCACTCGCGCGCTGTCTCCCGCAGATAGAGCGCAAGACGGTGTATCTATCGCATCCCGCCCGCACATCCTGGAATCTGGACCGGATCCGACTCCGTAAACATTCAATCAAGCGCAACTCCTTGGTGCTGCTCAGGAATACTCGTGACGCTCTGCGAGCGCAGGGATACGCCGTGCAATTCGACTGCCGAGACCAGTCTGAGCTGTGTTGGTATCTAACACTCGCCCACCAGGACCACAAGTTACGCATCGAGCTTGCGTGGCGTGGCTGGCGGGGGTTCGAAATGTATGCGCATGTAGGATATCAACTGCTCCCTCCAGAGAATCCCTCCGCGGACTTCAGGCAACTGCCGTGGGTAGTTGACCTCGACTGGTTCGGAAATCCCTACGGGTCTCTCCTGATTGACAGACCTCCATGGTATTCACCATGCATACGCGGCTCTGGACCAGTGTATTCTGACGACAATTTCCCTGGGACATGCCTTGAGAAGAAAGCCGAGGGCAGAGTAGGAGAGAGGGATATCAGGGTCGAAATTGGCCTTCGTTTTATTGGACAATCGCGGTACTTGCTGAACGTCAAGGTCCACCATCAGCCGATGCGGGCATCAGGCGTGTAGACGTCGAAACAGGACGGGTGGACCGAAGGCGACGCATCGACGTGAGCCGTCGTAGTACTACATACATAGAGCCAAATTAGTTGAGTGTATTGTAAACGAACTGAAGTACTGAAGGGCCGTTTATACCACGCTCGATAGCTCAGTGTGCTTCTGATACTGTGCGCATGTTGTTACGAATTGCCGGGCGTAATCTGCGTTTCTACGCGAGCAGATTGGACGAGAGCGCTGACCGCTACAGTCTGCTTCTCACCCTCGTCCGCCTTTCCTCTCACCACACCATCCCAGTGCCAGCCTACGTGGCCGTCTCACGCCCGTCCGATCCCTCCCAATCATGTAATCGTAACCCTACGGCCTCAGGCGATCGAGTCTCAAGCACACACGCTGGACGCCGGTCGAGACACGCCGGGAAGAGGGCCGGATGGCGGCAACTCCGTATAAAGCGTCCAGCACCACAGCCCGTCTCTAGCCCTCATACTCCGCTGTGCATACACCTCGTACTCACGTTCACATCATGTCCGCCTCCGACGTCCCCATGCGCCAGCGCATAGAGGAGTACATCTCGAAGCTCCAGGATGACATCGTCGGCGCGTTCGAGAAGCTCGACCCCGACGCCCCGCCGTTTAAGCGCGACTCCTGGCTCAGGCCCCAGGGCGGCCGCGGCCTCTCGTCGGTGTTCCAAGTCCCTCCCCCACCCCCTGGAGCGGAGGCGGTACCCAAGGAGACGGTGCTGGAGAAGGCGGGGGTGAACATCTCCGTCGTGCACGGTATGCTCCCTCCCCCTGCGATAAAGCAGATGCGCGCGGATCACTCCTCCATCCCCGACGTCCAGTCTGCCGTGCCCTTCTTTGCAGCAGGGCTATCCCTCGTCATCCATCCGCGCAACCCGCACGCCCCTACCGTACACGCCAACTACCGCTACTTCGAGATCACCGAGGAGCCGACCGAGGAGGAGGCCGCGCAAGGCAAGCCCGGAAAGCTCATCGCGTGGTGGTTCGGGGGCGGTTCCGACTTGACCCCGTCGTACCTGTACGAGGAGGACGCGGAGCATTTTCACAGGACGATCCGGGCCGCGTGCGACGCGCACGGGGCGGACCTCTACCCCGCGTTCAAGAAGTGGTGCGACGAGTACTTCTACATCCCCCACCGCGGCGAGTCGCGCGGGATCGGCGGAATCTTCTTTGACGACCTCTGCGACGAGCCGCACAAGCGGTTTGCCAGCGACGACGCGGCGCGGCCGAAGACTGCAGAGGAGATCTTCGCGTTCGTGCGGGCGGCGGGCGACGCGTTCGTGCCGTCGTACATTCCGATCCTGGAGCGGCGGTACAAGACGCCGAGCACGGAGCACGAGAGGAGGTGGCAGCTGGTTCGCCGCGGGCGGTACGTCGAGTTCAACCTGGTGTATGACCGGGGCACGAAGTTCGGGTTGATGACGCCCGGGGCGCGGATCGAGAGTATCCTGATGAGCCTGCCGGAGACTGCGCGGTGGGAGTACATGAGCGAGCTAGGGACGGAGGCGGAGAGCAGGGAGGAGAAGCTGGTTGAGGTGCTGAAGAATCCGAGGGAATGGGCGTAGGGTGGGGCAACAAGGCATAAAAGAAAAGTCGTGTTGTGTTCTTGTGAGTGCCACACCTTCACTTCCTTCGCGCTTTGTGTAGCACCTACTGACACCTGGCGCAGATGTCGGAGTGTTTGTATACTATAGTGCTCAAAACATCTCTAGGCGCGCATATAGCCACCCTGCTCTCTCCCCGTTTGTGCCGCCCCCTTGTGGGTGGCCGGAGCGCCTCATACGATAAAAGTGTCTCCAACTGTGCTGTCTTCGCAAATATGCATTCACAACCGGAGATACACACCCGCCGCCGTTACCATGCAGGGAATATAGAAGGATATAAACTTGATGCAGGAGGGAGCTCCCTATACACCGCGATGCAGAACCACTCCATCCAAAGGAAAGTCTTCGCTAGGGCTCTAGCAGCGGCGCACACGGATAAGCCATTCCATCGCCACAGAATACACCGCCAACGATGGCCCTCCTACTTTCACCGTCGTCGTGTTCCGATTGTGCACCAGTTTCGCATGTTTTGTATGAAACAACAACTTCGCGCCGTCGCTGGTACGAGTACGAGATACCATCCCGTCCCTCCGCCACCTGCGCAAACACCTCTGGATCCTCTCCACGACGGCGACATCTCCGTTCACGGCGACACGGCACCGTCGCCATCGCTCCTCGCCACTAACGCTTCGGTGGTGCCTGTTTCAAGCTCCCAGTGTTCTTCGAGGTATGGCAGCCTTTCTATGGAGGAGACGCCATCCGAGTATGGCGAATACCCCGAGTATTTCCAGCGACAAGACTCACCAGTGTCCATCAAAAGCTTGTTGGATTACGACGGTTTCTCGGACACCTGCGGTGACCTCGGCGATACCACCGAGATACTCGTCGACGGCGACTGTGTTCCCGAGCTCCTTGCTCGTTACGAGTCTGACTCTGCTATTGTAGACTACGCCGGGTTTCTTACAGAGTCTGAAGACGACGATGGCGAAGGCGCCCTTTGTCGGATGACTCCCCTTCGGGATGAAGATACCACCCTTGCTGGCGAGTTCGAGTCCGAAGACACTAACGCCGCGTCGTCTCACGCTGACGCATCGAACCCTCCTGCTGGCCCTAATGCATCCAACGTGGGGCGCGAGTCTTCAGAGCCGTCGTCAGCTCTGGGCTCGACGCATAAGGACGCCGGCGAGCAGCCTATAGTGCACGCATCGCTGGAATGCTCGTCCGATCGGAACCCGACAGCGCAGCAGGCACGCACTACAATCAGCTTTACCCTCGACGTCTCGTCCAAAGAGTCCGCCCTTCGAACCTCAGATATCGGCAATGTCGCGTTACTGAACGAGTTCCTCCTGCAAGGCGGCCCCATCACCGACCTCACGCTGTCCCTTAAGTGTCCATGTGAAGCAGATATGGTCGGGAGACGGCGGGAGATAACGAGGATCATCTCTGGGCTAGGCAGTGCTCTAAGCGAGAGTTTGCGCCGGCTGGACGTGACAGTACCCTCGTTGGAGCTCACTATGCCGTATTACCCGGAGATCCTTGGGACCATCGTGGAACAATTTCCGATGTTGGAGCACGTTGTTATAGCGGATTCGCGGTGTGAATGCAGTCATTGTTCTCTTCCCTTCAAGGTACGTTCGCTCATGACGGACCCCTTCATGCTTCGTGTTCCTGACGACCCTCACAGAGTGCAGCCGGGTTCAAACAGCTGCTGGTTTACGTCCTCGAGGCTGAGATGCAGCAGCCCCAAGTTGCAGTCACATATACCCCGCCGACACAGCTGAAATCGGTGAAGCTCACCAGGAGGTCTATGCATTCTTTTGGCAAAGATTTTGCGGGTTACATCGGCAACAATGGTTCTCGCCTTGACGAGGTATGGATCCGGTTTCCCCCCCCCAACCACTGTTACCCACTGAGCGAGATATGTGTCCAGCTTTTGCTTGGTACCTTGGAAGTAACTCGTGGAATATCTCCTCGGGAAGCTACTGCGCGTGCCCAGAGAGAGTCGGAATTCTACATCAAGAGCTTACGATCGCGGATACCCTCCGCCTCATGCTTCACGGTCATCACGGACGAGTTGCACGTAACGTACACCTGCCCACCTCCCGAACTTGACGATTCCTCCGCATCTTCATATGCGCCAGACGATCGCTGGGAATCAGAGGGAGTAGGAGAGCCCTGAATCTGCATCTCGGGCAGTGGTGTCTCCATCATCCTCTGACCAGCGTCGCTGTGTTCTGAGCGACTCGGAGCTCAGCTACCGGAATCATGAATTGGGAAGCTGGCGGGGAGGCTATGATTGAGGATGATGCTTTGGAGGTAGAAGAAGTGGATGAGTCGCCCTAATCCGCCGAATCTTCAATCACCGTGCCTGTGACTCGCAAAGGAAGGGATTCTTCGGTGTACATCGCATGTAATGGGGATATGGATGTTTGCAACTATGTATTGACCGCGCAACACGACGAGCTTCTTGCATTTCACATTCTCGGCGGAATCGCGCCGGGGAAGAACGCATTCCCGCCCTGATTCGCCTCGTACCACGCTGCATCGTGTGCTAGCAGGACATGTACCCGCGGCATACCCAACAGCTCCCGGACCCTAGCGATATGCTCTACCGCCCGCTCCCTGTCTGTATGCACGCAGACCAAGTGCCCTGCGTCGTTGTGCCATGTCGCGACGTCGCGCTCCCCCGTCAGCAGGCGAAGGTCGTGCGCGGAGTCGCCCGCGAGGTAGATCCACGACCCGGTCGCATCCGTGCGCGCGAGGAGGTTGATATGCCCCGGGAGGTGCCCGGGTGCGTCGATGATGTAGAGGCTCCCGTCGTTAAAGTAGTCGTACGCGCGCGGGAAGGGCCCGATGGATGTCGTGAACTCCGACGAGAGGAAGCGCGAGCGGGCAAGGGGGATAGCGCCTTCGAGGACTTCGGCGACGGGGTTTGAGGGATAGCCGTGCACTAGGAGGTCCTCGGCGTCCGCACCCATGATGAAGGTCGCGTTGGGGAATGACGATGCTTCTCCGATACTAGAAAGGCGATGCTCAAGGTCAGACAGAAGTTACGAATAGATGCGCTTAGTAAAGTACTCACTGGTCGTAATGCAGGTGACTGACGATGACTGTCTTGATGTCCGCCGGGTCCATGCCTCCCTTACGCAGGCTCTCCTCTATGCTCTGCGGGGTGGTGATGACGCGGTTGGCGATCACCTTCTGGACGGCCGGTGGGTGGATAGCCAAGTCTCGCCGGATGCCAAGGTCGAAGACGAGATGCTCTTTCGAGGTAGAGTGGCGAAGGAAGAATGCGAGCGAAGGGCACATGGTGAACTCGCCAGGCTTTGAGCCTGCGATGAACCTGGTGTGAATCAGCTGTAAGAGGCCAGCTTCCAGTGCGGACACTTGAATGTACGGCTGGTCGGGTTTGGGTTCCGGCAACGCAAATTTCGGTTGGGAAGATGCCGCCATAGCTATTCTGCGCTCCTGTGCGTGTCTCGCACTGCCCGCCTCCAACGTGCTCCTTATATACCGACCTTGCGCGTGACCGGAACCAGTATGGACTGGCATCAAACTGAGCTTATTTCAGAAGGGAGGAACGGTAAGCAGGGCTCGCCGGTGGGAAGTCCTATGACAAAATTGTGCATCTGGCTATTCGGGGTCCACCATACCTCGCGCGAGTAAGTGCTCATGAGATACAGGTACGACCGCGATCACATCCGGGCCAGATGCACAAGAGCCCTTCCTCCCTTCTGCGTCGGCCTCATTCTGCTCCGAGTACTAGTGAACAGCACGAGGACGCGTACTGTCCCTTCCCCCAACGTCCTCACTCGCGTCCCGGTGCGTTTCGTCTTCCCGTCGGGTGTGCCCCACTCGCGTCCGGGTCACCGATTGATGCATCTCGCTCATAATCTCCCTGCATTCCTAGAGATTGAGCGGTAGTCATCGTGTGGTGAAGCGCGACACATAGAGAGTACCGCGATGGCCCGACGAAGTTCAGACCAAGCCTGATAGCGAGTTCCTTTCCTCCGACGCTGCCAGTAATCTGTCGAGGAGAAATGCATGCCATTCCAGTGAATCATGCCAAGATATCTTGCTAGTTGGGAAAGAGTCGACGACCTCAGCCGATCTTGGGAGGCGCTCCAGTCCCGACATCTTTACAAGCGCGTGCAGCTGCAGACGCCGTCCATAGTCCAGGAGCAGATGCTGATACTGAACGGTGATGGTATAGTCATCGTGGGACAGCGTGAGCCAGTGACTCGTAGGGTCGGCCGATTTGGACCTTGGAGATCGGCTGTACATCGCTGCTCGCGCAGACCGTCCAGTGTCTCCCGCGGCAGTGTGAGGACGACCTTCTTGTGCGGCCGCCTGCAAGCTGCTTCCAGATCCAACCGGGCTGCGCTGAACTGTATCTGCCAAAGATGGCGTTCGAGCGTCGCTGGCGACAGAGGTAGTAGGTCTTCCCATTGGGCGGTGAGGAAGGGGTCTGTGATCGGAACGATGCAGCCGGGATACAAGACGTCGATTCCTGACTGGGAGGGTGGTATGCAGCAGACCCGCCCGAAAGGTGACCAGGTCGGCTGCGATGTTCGCAACCGAAGATGGCGAGATACCAATGAGACAAGGGATGGTGTTCAGGGCACAGTGTTGTGCGTGGAGCAAGAATAGCAGAGAGAGGTAGGATAGGGAGGTGTGTGCGGATACCGTGTGGGGTAAAGGTGTATTCAATCGGGGCGGGACGGGAGAGCCGGAGACGACGGCTGACTTCGTCGTGAGGGATATACTTGATGCTGCTACCATCCGCGAATCTGTCGAGAAAGCTAGCGAACAGGGACGCATTGCCCCATGGATACTCCATGCACGCGAATCGCTTCCCACCGGGCACAGAGGAGACAGCATCAGGCTCCTGGGGGGCATCGAAGCGTAGCAATACGTCTTCCCAAGCGAAGAGGCTCTGGTCTGGAGTTCGCCGCATGATCTCCTCCTGCAGTCGTTGTACGGCCCGCTGGCCCTCGCCGTACAGTGTTGGCATGTTGATGGCGAACAGTCTCATGAGCGCATACGCCTGATCTTCCACCCTCTTGGTCTGCCTCTTCGAAGCCCAGGAGAAACGTTGGGCGACAGAGAACTCCCCCAGCTCCCTCTTGTGCAGTAACGCTTCTTGGCTGACTCCGGTAATCTCCTCGAGTACGCCCGCAAGGTTGCGCTTCGATCCAAGGAACGACCAGTCCGCAGAGAGGAAATGCACGTTATCGGGCGCGATGAGTTCCTGTAGCGTCCACCCGCGCGTGAACCACCGGCTCCTGCCAAAGGGCGACTCCTTGGAATGTGGCGTCGCGCGGGGGGGGACGTCTGCCAGATATGCATAGCAGACCTCTGCTTCCTCGTACCATCCATACATCGAGTTTATCGCCTCGGAGAGCTCGGAGCTGCTCGTTTTGTCGATGCAGCACGAGTCTATCCAGATGTACCGGTGGCCCTCTGCGCGTGCGACCATACACGCCATCCTGACCTTCGGTGAGAGCCTCGAATCGTCCCAGATGGAACGAGATGATGTCGTTAGGCAAACGAGGCGCGAGAGAGGCGCAGAAACGCGAGATAGGAACCATGATGTTCGCCCTGATAAGGAAGAGATGTATGAGTTCCTGACGGTAAAGAAGGACGGATTGTCGAGAGGAATAGACGCCCAATTTACCCTGCTTTGACCCACCTTCTAATGCATGTTGCTCCTGGATCGCCCTCAGCTGCTCGTACGTCTGCTCGCCCTTCTCATGATTCCAGGTGTGCGACAAGATGGCGTACGTTGTGATCAGAGGATCTTTCTCGACGAACTGCCCGGTTTCCGTGTCAAGCAGACGCATATTGTTTCATTCAGGGACGTCCCTGTATACGATTTCGCGGATTGGGCGTCAGCGGAGCTGCATGATGCGAAGTACCTGAGACGAACCGGTCGCGATGAGCCTGTGGGGAGGTTCGGCCAAAATGGTAGGGGTACTGGCGAGGAACATATAGCTGTGCGATAGTGTCCCAGATATGACGAGCACGGACGAAATTGGGTAGTTGGGTGGGCGAGACGACTGCTTAACGTACATAGGGTCACCAGGTAACCCGAACCGTTCAACAGGCACCGCCTCACAGCGCGCCTCTTGGTCGTTTACCAATAGGACGTCTGCATAGACTACGTCAAAAGTCAGCGCGATCCCTGTCTACGTCTGATGAGGACATGCCATAAGGATGTAGTGCATTGTGCAAGACCGTGTTGATTCCGTCGAGCGGCCACGTACCGACAGTGGGGCGCCCATAGCGGTACACCTTGCTCACTCACTCGAAGGCGGCCAGCAACCTATGAATGATCTCCAGTGTGTTCCTGCCAAGTTTGAGCAAAATCAGGGGATGGTGCTCGAGATACAGAAAGCGGTCTTCCATAAGCGCCCCTGGCCTCAAGCGCGCGGCGAAACGAGCGGTCGTATAAGACTAATTCAGCTACGAATTTACTTCGCCTATTGCTCCCACTCACCGCCCTGCCTATCGCTGTCTTATCTCATTGCCTACTCAACGACCTTTTCTGTCTGTGGTCACAGACTCTTGACAGTGCTTTTCACCGATCCACGCCGTCATGGACCTGGTCGACATGCCCCTCTATGTACCTCTTAGCTTCTTCCCTTTGTGGACTGGGATTCAATCCCCACTGCCCTACCCACGACAATTTTTTCAGAGGGCCTTGCAAGAGAGAATTAATCCACTCCAGACCATATTCTATTTAAATCGCATCCTGCTCTCCGCCCGTCAGCTACCTATACTATGACTCTTGGATCCTACCATGACAGGAACTCTCGCTCTGTACATGCTGCTTTGTCTGTTTCTTCCCTCCACGTAATAATCAGAGTCCTAGACGACTTCATGCGGCTTCTTCCTTTGTGCTACTGACTATCGCGCCTTTTTGTGTATCTGCGCGGACACCATGCTCAGTCGAGTAGGCGTCCGGTCAGCCGCTATTCCCGGTGCTATGGCGCATTTCCAGAGGATGCTAAGCAATATCTCCGTGAATAAGGCCTGATGAACTGATGACAACTAAAGACATGATTGATGTCCAGCGTAATCTACGCTCGTGCTATGAGAATATCGGTACGTACACCATCTCTGCGAAGGTCAAGCCCGTAACCTAAGAATCGTACATTGGAAACCGAGAAGGCCATCGCGGAGAAGATACCCAGACTTGATCAAGGCGATACGTCGTCTCCACCGTCTCCAGACGTCATGCCGTCTTTTCAGACTGAATGACAGGAGGATACGAGTCATCACCCTGCTCCGCGACCACGCCGGGGCTTGCCTGGTGTTCCACTCCACTGCCCTGCACGCTCGTACTCGACTGGCCCACCGGACCGGGCGCATCTTCAGGATCTCCCTATTGACTCCCCACGATTGAGGCGTCGTCCGAGTGGCGATCCATTCCGACCTGTATGGCGTACCACGATGGTCTGAGGAACGTCAGGCCAAGTGTGACAGTGAACTCCTTCTCCCCTGCGCGTACAGTAACTTCTCTGTCACGGCGAGTTGTGAACCATGGCGGCGTGTCGGACCAACTCACTTCGCTTGGAGACTGTGTCGAAAGGACGTCATGGGGGGATGGTCCGAGGCCTCCCGAAACCTCCACACGTGCACGCATCGTCAGACGTTTCCCGCCATCTTCGAGCGTATGGTCGTACTCGATGGAGACAGTGTGGTCGTGGTGGGACAATGTGAGCCGGTGCGTTGTCGGATGAGCCTGATCAGGACGTCGGAGACTGGTGGTGTACTGCTGGGCGCAGAGAGCATCACGAGTCTCCCGTGACAGTCGCAGGAAGATACTGCCATGGGGCCGGTCATCGTCTGGGTCCTTCTCCTCTGGGTCCCTATATCGGCGGGCGGGATGAGATATGTAGACAGTCCTGACCACTATCTGTGAACGGCAGCGTTCGACAGTGGCCGGCGACAACGCGAGCATATCTGGGCCTTCAAAGAAGCCGAGATATCGTCCTTCACGGACGACTCTGATCCATCCGGCATAAAGAAGGTCGACGCCTGACTCGGAAGGTGGTATGCGACACACTCTCCCAAGAAGGTGTCCGGGATGATCACCGTGTTCACAGCCAAGTATGGCGAGATTCCAATGGGACATGGGGTGATCGTCGGGGACCTTTGTCTCGTCTGGATGAAGAATAGCAGAGAGGGGTAAGACGGGTAGCTGTGTGCGGATGCCGTACGGCGTGGAGGTATACTCCGTCGGGGAAAGACCAGAGAGCTGGAGGCGACGGCGGACTTCGTCGTAATGGACACTCGTGATGGTACTAGCGTCCAGGAACGAACTAAGAGAAACAGCGATCAAGGACTCGTAGCTCGGATGGTGTGCCACACATTCATATGCCTTGGCATGGTCTGCAGAAGTGGCGTCGTCGAGCTCTTCATGGACCTCCAAAGAGGGCCCCCAAGCGCTGCCCCAAGCGAAGAGACTCTGATCCGGTGTTCGCCGCAAGATCTCCTCTTGTAGCCGTCGCAGCGCACGCTCACCCTCGCCGTAGAGGATAGGCATGTTGATGTCGAAGATTCCCATCAACGAATACGCTCGGTCTTCCACCCTCTCCGTCTCTCGCATTGAGGCCCACGAGAACCGTTGAGCAACAGAGAATTTCTCCAGCTCTGTCTCATGCAGCAGGGCGCGTCGATCGATACCAGTCGTCTTCTCGAGTACGTCAACGAGGTCGTCCTTCCACCCAATGATTTCCCAATCGGCGTTGAGAAAAATCAGATCGTCAGGTGCGATGAGCTCCTGGAGTGTCCATCCGCGCGTGAACCATCGGCTCTCGCGGAAAAACCGAGATTGAGGTGTCGCGCCGGGGGGGACATCGGCCAGATACGCATAGCAAACGTCTGCGTCCCCGTACCACGCATACATCGAATTGATGGCCTCGGAGAGCTCGGAGCTGCTTTCCCTGTTGATACAGCACGAGTCTATCCAGAGGTAGCGGAAGCCCGTCTCCCGCGCGACCTTACAGGCCATCTTGATCTTGGGGGACAGGTCCGGATCGTCCCATATCGGAGACAGAGACGTCTGCGTACGACTTTTTGTGGAAGATTCTGGGGACAGTGGTGGTAAGGGAGCCCCCCAGCTCACAGACGGATTCGCGGCCTCAGGCATGTCGATTTCAGACGTCCCAGGCTCTGGTAAGGCGCTGGCAGACAGAGGTGAATGGCGTTGGCCGACTACAGGGTTAAGTGGGGGGACAGCTCCCACCGCGCGAGGAGTCTCCGGAGAGACGCCAGTGCGTCGTTCGGTGAGGCTGACACGTTCAGCGAGTAGGGCTATTTGCTCGTTGAGGCGCGCGATGGAGGCATCTATCGACAACAACAACGACGACGACGACGACGACGACGACGACGACGACGACGACGACGACGACGACGACGCAGATATAGACGCGCCCGCTAAGGAGGGGGAGGGTGTACGGGATACTCCACCCTTTGGTACGGCGGTAGACGAAGAATTGGGCTGGCGGTGGAAGACTCTCTGCGAAGAAGCGCCACGCTCCGAAATGTATCGTTTCTGGATCTCCTGCAGTTCTTGAAACGTCTGCTCGCCATTATCGGGGTCCCAGGTGTGCGACAGTATGGCCAATACTTGGTCCTGAGGATCTATATGGACGAACTGTCCGGTATACGTGTCAAGAACTCGCATGATGTAGTCTAGGTTTTTCCGAATATCACCCAGAAATAGCAGTCAGCAGAGCAGAACAAGGACAGATAGAATGGTACTGACCGTGGAAAGTAACCCTCTCGGGAGAATTGGGTCACAAGGGGATAATTATAGACGAGGGGGAGACGTCTATCCGTTCGACCTCGATGGGGTGAGGATGATCAAGTATGAGACAGGAGAGACAGGGAGCAGCGGTAGGTTCGTGGGTAAGACTGTCGGGGCACACGCCGCTGCGAGGAGCGAGCAATTTGTCACGACTGCAGGCCTCATGATGGACATCATGGCGGCCGCTTCTCCTGCTTTCAAACCGGTTGGATGCCCGCACCTCATGCCTTTCGGTCAGCACTTACTTTGCTTGACGTCGGACAAGGCCGTCATACCTTGTATGTGACAACGCCGAAGCTCATCGTGCCTTCCTATAAAGCAATTGCCTCGCTCATTTTGAGTAATATTGTTCGCTCACCTGTCTGCACATTAGGAGTGGTACCGTCGCGCAACGGTCACTCCGATGCACACGTGGTGCGGTGGACTTGGGAAGCAAGGAAACGCGCGCGTGGACCGCATGGTGCTTTCAAATACTGCAGACTCGGAGTTTGATCAATACCGGTGTGGCAGGACATCAGTGACAGCTTCGGCAGTGAGGGTGCTTCGCGGACACCGTCGAAGTAAGATATACATGGCAATATGTCCGAAGGCGCGTGCCAAGACTGGATTGGTACTCACGGTAGAGCAACTTTGCGGTAGTCGGGCTCGCGTTTGTATGGCGCGCTCCGCCCAATTGAGACGATCCGTTATGCGGGCCGGATACCATGCGCGCACGACATGGGCGTGCTAGCACGACTCCCAATGGGACGGTCCTTTAGGTCCTCTAGAAGCGCGACGGGCCCCAAGGAGGCAAGGTGACCAAGGACATGGCACGTCTGCCGAGCTTCGACCCAGCTGCAGGCCTGACAAACATTCGCAAGACTTCACATGGGTCGCGGACGACTGCATACTGTCAAATTAACCAAGGCTCTGTGCCACCGCATCGCATTGGTTGCACCGCCGGCGGTGCGAGACCATACTCAGGCAGCGGCTTAGATTCTTCCACTAGAACGAGGTCAGTCGATCGCTCCTTCTGACACGGCAAGGGCGTACTGGTGAAAACATGGTGCGGCTATGCCTTCAGCATGAAATTTTGGGATTATGCATGGATGTCTTGCTATGAGGAACCTTGTCATTCTCGGGCCTGCCTCGAGTGTTTCTGAGTTCCGCCTCCTAGCCTCATTGCCGCAGACGCTGCTGCACGTTGATGCATGTGACAGACACAAGTCTGAGATTGATATAGAAGCAGAACCGCGCGACTAGACACTGGCCAGGATTGGTAGAGGAATGTAACTGGACACGGAGGCATCGGATGAGACATGTCCTCCACGTGGCCGGCAACCGTTTTTGGCTCGGAGTCTCGCGTCGTCTCGCGTCTTGACTCATCCCCTTCTCCTCGCACCCACTCCGTTCGCGAACATGTCCGACCCCACAAAAGCCGAGACCGAGCGGGTGTTCGAGTTGTAGAGGGTGAACGTGGTGCGTCTTATGGTTCCGGATGGCGGCAACTAATAGACCAGACATTATGAACAGATGTATCGCACACCCGCTCTGCACGAATAGCGCTGCGGCCTCGGAAGATGTGCCTACGTACGCCCGCGAGAGGTTCGGCAACCAGAAGGTGATATCGTCCGGCTTAGGCCTCGTACGTAGCTCGTACGGCCCGAAGGCGAACGCGGAAGCGGAGGCACGCCCTACTCGTTACAGGACTCGCAGTCTGGTCCCTCTAACCAGTACTCAGTGCGAGAGGAGGAGGATATGCCCTGTCTCCAGCCGACGCATTTCTCGGCGCATCCGCCTCCCATCCACAAGTATATCTATGTACACTTATATCTACACTACCGCGCTCATCCGCCTCATGATCCGCCTGGGACATTCCATGGCCACATCGGGAAGTACATCTCAAAGCTCTAGGACAACATCGTCGGCGTGTTCGAGAAGCGCGACTTGAGGACTGTCCTTCAAGGGCGACTCTTCGCTCCACCGCTTCGGCCGTCGCGGGCTCTTGTGCGCGTTGCAGGTCCTCCCCCATCCCTCAGGAGACGTTTCTGAAGAGGGCGGAGGTAAAAATCTCCGTTGTGTACGGTATGCTCCCTCCCCCAGTGATCAAGCAGATGTGCGCACACCATTCCTCTTTACAATGTCTAGACCGCCGTGCCCTTCTTTGTAACAAGGCTCTCCCCCCTCGCCCGCCCGTGCAAACTGCACGCGCCCACCGTCCAAGCAAGTTATTGCTAGTTTACCGCGTAGTCGACCAAGGCCGCACATGACAAGCCCGGGAAGCTCATTGTGTGGTGGTTCGGGTGCGGCTCGGGCCTGACCCCGTCGTACCTGTACTAGGAGGACGCAGAGCACTTCCACAGCACGATCCGGGCCGCGTGTGACACGCGCATGGGGCGGATCTCAACTCCGCGCTCAAGACATGGTGCGACGCGGCGAGTCGCGCGAGATTCCGTCTATGGGCTCTTCCTCGTCCTTCATCCACGCTACCGGCACGCGCCAACTGTCCACGTAAAATACGGCTGATATATTGACGACTATGGAATGAGAGTCAGAAACCATGTATTGTACCTGAATAAATTCCAGTCCAAGCTTTCGTGGATTAAAATTGTGTAACGAAGGCCGAGACGAGCTTCGCAAAAGAATCCAATCCAGCCCCATCAAAGCGAATCGCCGTCTTCACCGTTCTCCAGATGTCTAGTGGCCACTCCGCGTTGGCGTCATTGACCTCATCCCTGTACTCGATTACCTGTCATTCGTTTCATAATGATGAGCATGCGAGTCGTCGCTCGGGTCCTCGCCCCCACTAGAGCTCACCTTGTACTATTGTTCTTCGCTCCACCGCTCTGCACACTCACATTCGACTGGTCACCGGACCTGGCGCCTCTTTGATTGCAGCGGATGTATCTCGACCCCTAACGAATACCGCGACTTTCCAACGAGCTCCAGGCCAATTTTGATAATGAGCATCTTCCTCCCTATACGCAGAGTAGCTTGTTCACGGCAGGGCCATACACGCCATACGATCGAATCGGACCAAGTTATCTGGCTGGATATTGCCGTCGAACCGGCATGTGGTGGAAGGCCCTCTGACGTCTCTATATGCGTACGTATCGTCCACTCGCGCCCATCGTCCTCAAGGGTATGGGTGCATTCGATGGCAATAGTGTGGTCGTCGTGAAACAATGTGAGCCGGTGCGTCGTCGGATGAGCCTGATCAGGTCCTCGGAGGCTGGGCGTGTACTTCTCGGCGCGGAGAGCAATCATACTCGCAGCGGACAGTCGCATATAGATGCTGTCATGAGGTTCAAATTGAGTCTGGAATATCGGCGAGTTCCTAAATCGGCGGGCGGGGTGAGATATGTAGACGGTCCGGAGCTCTATGTGTGGCGCACTGCGTTCGACGACAGCCGGTGATAACGCGAGCATACCTGGGCCATCGTCATCATGCCCGGGTGATGCTTGCACCGAGGGCTCAATACACCCAGCGTATAGCAGGTCGATGCCAGACTTGGACGGTGTTATGCGACAAACTCTCCCAAGAAGATGCTCAGGATAACGATCATCTTCGCAGCCAAGCATAGCCAGGTACCAGTGGGACACAGTATCGCTGTCACCATGGGGAACGGGTGTTGCGTCCGGATGAATGATGGCAGAGAAGGGTACGACGGGTAGCTGCGTACGGATGCCGCACGATGTGAAGGTATAGTCGGTCGGGGGAAGATCTAACAGATGCAGACGGCGGCAAACATCGTGGTGGGGGATACTCCTGATGGTACTGGCATCCTCGAACTTATTGAGGGAAGCAGTAAACGAAGAGTCGTCCGCAATGTGATATCTCTTGGGTTTGGGTACAAAAGGGACATCGTCGAGCGCTTCATTGACATCAGAGGAGTGCTTCCAGACACCGCCCCAAGCCAAGAGGCTCTGGTCGGGTGTACGTCGCATGATCTCCTCCTGTAGCCGTCGAAATGCACGCTCACCCTCGCCGTAGAGGGTGGGCATATTGATGTCAAAGATTCCCATCAACGCGTATGCTTGGTCTTCCACCCTCTCCGTCCGTCGCCCTGTTGCCCACGAAAAGCGTCGGGCAATGGAGAATTGGTCTAGCTCTGTCCTGAACAGTAGGGCGTCTCGATCGACGCCCGTCGTCTCCTCAAGCACATCGACAAGATCGTCCTTAGACCCAATGGTTTCCCAGTCAGCGGAGAGGAAGATCAATCGACCGGGTGCGATGAGCTCCTGGAGTGTCCATCCGCGTGTGAACCATCGGCTCTTGCGAAAAGAGGATTGCTCAGAATGAGGCGTCTCGCCAGGGGGGACATCGGCAAGGTAGGCGTAGCAGATGGTCGAGTCCCCATACCACATATACATCGAATTGATCGCCTCGGAGAGCTCGGAGCTGCTCGCCTTGTCGATGCAACACGAGTCTATCCAAATGTACCAGTAGCCTGCCTCGCGTGCGACCGCACACGCCATCTTGATTTTCGGCGACAGCTCCGGGTCGTCCCATATGCACGTAGGAACATCCGGGACAGGGCTAGTGGGAGACGAAGCCGGCGGAGGTGAGGAGGACTCCTCAACAGGAGGAGCCGAGGTGTCGTGGACGACAACAGGGGCGAGGACTGGCTCCGGAGCAGTTGATATCGAGTCGGCTGGCGGGCCATCTCCCAGTAGTTTGACGACGCGCGCTGCGGAACGGATGATGAGACGGAGGAATTGCAGAAGCCTTTGCCAAGGGCCGCTTAGGCGCGACTGTGGGGCATCGTGATGGTAAGCATTGTCTTCAAGTCGTCCCTCCGTCTGGCCGACACCACCAGCGAGGAGCGCCGTACGCTCGTTCGGAAGTGTTGTCGTAGAAGCAGCCTCTCGGGCTGCGGGGAACGGAGCGCAGCTAGTAGCTGGGGTTGGAGAGGATGGGCTGTCTGGGGAGGTGGCAGCAGAGAACGAATTGTCCTGTCGATGGAGAGCATTGTTCTGAGGACGTGCCCCAGGTCGCAGGATGTAGCGATCCTGGATCCTCTTCAGCTCTGCGTACGTCTGCTCTCCATTCTGATGGTCCCAGGTATGCGACAAGATCGCGTACTTCGTTGTTAGATGGTCGATCTCTACGAACTGGCCGGTTTCTGTGTCGAGAACTCGCATGATACCGTCGGGAATTCCACAAAAGCGGTCACTATTCTTTCTTGTTGTTAGCTGATCCTGACAAGGCACTGTATGACAGAACGAACCGGTGATGCGGCTTCTCATGAGGATGGGTCCCCTCTTGAGAGCAGGCAGCGAGGTTGAGGTATGAGCCGTTCGGCGATGGGCGATGGGCTGGCGACAGGAGTAGTAGACAACATTGGACTTATACTTGCGGCGGAGAGAATTGACTGCACACGAGGCTGTGGTCGGGCAGACCTCGAGGCTTCCAACCTCTCACGGTGTCCACTTATGGATATGTTGATCTTCTAGGTCGGAGCGGTAGCCAGGCATAGCAGTGTCCTCATGTCTATGGGATTGGCGTCAGCGTGGGCTCGGGCGGCATCGAACAATAATTTCGAATCTTTCGATGTCACAAGGAGCAGACGCGCCATCGTGCACACGGATGTTCTAATCCCACGACCAGGATACAAGTCGGGAGCAGCAACAACACCAAGGCTCTCAAACAAGGTCGTGTTGACGATGCCATCAATTGCCTTTCTAATTTGGGCAAACTCACTGGTGTTAGAGAGCACCCTGTCGAGGCGCTCCAGATGCTGATAACCGTCAGACACAGTATGAATAGCGGTTCGCAGCGAGCTGCAATTTATGGCCGAGAACATGGGTGCCACGAACATTAGCTGAGTATCTCGTCGCGGCGCTAGACAGCAGGAAGGTATGATGATACAGACCAGTCTTGTCTTCAGTGGCCATCGATCACTATCGCGACCCCAGTGTTCGGACAGACGGACAGACTGCATGTATCCTCTCGATCGGCGGAGGAAACATACCATAGACGATACGGACGCATATATCTCGGCCCTTTTTAGCACCATCTACCATTAGGCCGCCTTTGCCCCGGAACCAGGACGGTAAGCACAAAGACGTGCGAGAGGCTGCGACCGTCCCGGACATGAAGCCAGAAATCGCACGTGAAGACCAGAGGTGCTTGGGTCGAGTTCCCTAGAAACCCTCGAGGAGACGACGAGCTATTGTGTGAGTGTGTAAGCGCGGGTGCGCCATGGAGAGGATGGCAAAAGACGATTCGGGCCTACCTCCATTCAGCGCATGTCCCAGAGAGTCGGACAGGCAGAAGTGTACGATGGTCGCATACGAGCCGATTCATCATGGTTTACGGACGTCGAAGCGACCATGGGCAGTCGGGACGGCGAGCAAGACGCCGGCTTCGCGCCACCGGTGCGCTCGAACGTCTCATTTGGCTACGACTTCGCCCTCTGCTCCCACTGACCTGCCTGCATATCCTTTCCTTGTCCGCTTGCTTGCTGAAAGACTTCTGCTGCTCCTATACAATGACCCTTCCAACAGTACTTCTCGTCGATCTGCCCCGTCATCGACCATCGGCAAGTCATTGTGGCTCTCCCTGTTCGACATACCTCTATCCCCAAAGCTCCCTGTAGACCTTCTCTTTGTGGATCCGCGGATTCATCTCACTCTACTTAAAATGCGATACTTCCTCCCGAGGGATCAACGCCACAGAATGCAGACGAGGACGAACAATCGACGGACGGTAAGTGTATGTTGATGTACTCTATCGTCTTTTCGCGCTATGGTCGGGGGCGGCGTCCGCAATCCTCCCGGAGAACAAAGACGGACACCGCGGCCAGATGAGACCTCCCTGCTGGGCCTCGATGTCTAGGCTCCGGCTGTTGGTGTACGTTTTCGTTGTGTTCGAAACCATTCCCTTCCTATTCCCCAGACCATACATTGTATTGTATCGTATCGCGCTTTCCGCCCATAATCTACCTGTACTATGACTTCTGGATCCCGGATCCCTCACTGTGCATGCTTCTTCGCCTGTCTCTCCCCGCGAGATGACAAGAGCATTCGACGACTTCATCCTTCATCCGTCTGCTTTCATTCTGCTATCGACTACAGCGGCCTATGTGGATCTATACGCATACCATGGTCGAGTAGGTGTCTAGTCCGTCGCAAATCCGTGGCACTACGGCGCACTCCTAGAGAATGCTCTCGCACCATCTCTGTCAAGGCAGTCTGCGGGACTAAATACGCGAATACACACTGTTCGGTGCAACTTAGACTCGTCCTATGAACATACCAGTAAACAATAAACCATCTTCGGCAAGATCAAGCCCAAAACCTAGGAACCGTACATCGAGAACCGAGTCGGACATCACAGAGAAGATACCCAGACTGGTCAAATCCACTCCGTTGCCGTGTGGGCCCACCGGACCGGGCGCCTCTCCTTGCCGACTCTCAACAGTTGGGGTCGCATCAGAGTGGCGGTCTGTCCCAACCCGGATCGCATACCACGATGGCCCGAGGAGCGTCAGGTCGAGGTTGATAGCGAGCTCCTCCCCTGCGCGCACAGTAACTTGTTTGTCACCGAGCGATATGGACCATAGCGTGAAGTTGCACCAAGTCACTTCGCTTGGAGACTGTGTCGAAAGGACGTCGCCGGGGGGGGGGGGATCGGAGCTTCCCCGACACCTCCACACGTGCACGCATTGTGAAACCTTCCCCGCCGAGTTTGAGTGTATGGTCGTACTGGATGGAGATAGTGTGGTCATGGCGGGACAATGTGAGCCGGTGCGTCGTCGGATGCGCCTGATCAGGACGTTGGAGACTAATGTTGTACTGCTGGGCGCGGAGAGCACCACGAGTCTCCCGTGACAGTGTCAAGAAGATACTGCTATGGGACCGGAAACGATCCAGATATGTCTCTGAGCGCCTGGCCGGGCGGGATGGATGAGATATGTAGACAGTCCGGAGCTCTATCTGTGAATGGCAGTCTTCGATAGTAGCCGGCGACGACGCGAGCATATCAGGGCCCCGATAAGGGCCGGGCAAGTCTCGTTCTAGGGCGAGTGTAATCCAACCGGCATATAAGAGGTCGACGCCTGACTTAGAGGGTAGTATGTGACAGACTCTCCCGAGGAGGTGTCCGGGATGATCACCGTGTTCACAGCCAAGGATGGCGAGGTACCAATGGGACATGGGGTGATCGTCGGGGACCTCTGTCTCATCTGGATGAAGAATAGCAGAGAGGCGTAGGACGGGTAGCTGCGTGCGAATGCCGTACGACGTAAAGGTCCATTCGGTAGGGAGAAAACCATAGAGTTGGAGGCGAAGGCGGACTTCGTCATAGGGAACAGCTCCGATCGTATGGGCGACCTGGAACCGTTTGAGCGAAGTAGTAATCAACGAATCATTGCTCAGAAAGTTTGCTATCAGTTGATATGCCTTGTCTCGGGGTACAGAGGAAGCGTCGTCAGGCTCTTCATGGAAGTCTGAGGAAGGCTTCCAGGTGCTGCCCCAAGCGAAGATGCTCTGGTCCGGTGTTCGCCGCAAGACCTCCTCCTGTAGCCGTCGCAGCGCACGATGACCCTCGCCGTAGAGGGTAGGCATGTTGATGTCAAAGATTCCCATCAACGAGTATGCTCGGTCTTCCACCCTCTCCGTCTCTCGGTTCGAGGCCCAAGAGAACCGTTGAGCAACGGAGAATGTATCCAGCTCTGTCTCATGCAGCAGTGCACCTCGATCGATGCGAGTCGTCTTCTCGAGTACGTCGATGAGATCGTCCTTTGACCCAATAGATTCCCAGTCAAATAATCATCAATTCGGCGGGTGCGATGAGCTCCTGGAGTGTCCATCCGCGCCTGAACCAACGGCTCTCGCGGAAGGATGAGTCCTCTGAATGAGGTGCATCGCCGGGAGGGACATCGGCCAGATACGTGTGGCAAATGTCTGCGTCCCCGTACCACGCATACATCGAATTGATGGCCTCTGAGAGCTCTGAGCTGCTCACCTTGTCGATGCAGCATGAGTCTATCCAGATATACCGGAAGCCCGCCTCGCGTGCTACCGCACACGCCATCTTGATCTTAGGTGACAACTGGGGATCGTCCCATATCGGAGGAAGGGCTGTCTGTGCACGATTTTCTGAGATAGGTTCCGCAGGAAGCGGTGGAGAGGAGTTCTCTACGGGTGCGTCTACGGCCTCGGGGATGAGGAGTCTTGAGGTCACCGGCTCTAGGGAAGTAGCGGCTGACGGATGTAAACGTAGTTGATTGACGACGAGAAGGATGAGGCGGGATATGGGCGTGAAGACCAGGAAAAGGAATTGCAACATCCGTTTGCATCAATTGCCGAGCCGCGATCGCCCAGTGGCTTCCACCGTGCATGGAGTCTCCGGAGGGATGCGTCATTCCATAGAGCTGACGCGATCAGAAAGAAGGGCCACTTCTTCAATCAGGAACGCTATAGAGGCGTCCGCGGATGATGTAGGTGGATATACTGTGTCGACAGTTGGGGATCGGAATTGTGAAGGGGACGGTCCATCCTCAGGTACGAGGGCAGAGGAGGTATGGAGCCGTGTATGTGAGTGGTCATGAAAATTGGCATCCAGCTTCGAAGCATATCGGCTCTGGATCTCTCGCAGCTGTTCAAACGACTGCTCGCCCTTTTCGCGATCCCAGGTGTGCGACAAGATGGCGAATGTTATACTTTGAAGATCTGCCTGAACGAACTGTCCGGAATGCGTGTCAAGGACTCGCATTAAGTCGTCGAGACCTTTAGGAAAATCATTCAGAAATGGCCGTCAGTAGAGCAGAGCAAAGACAGATGGATTGGTACTGACGGTGGAAAGCAGCCTTCACGCAGGAAATGGACAAGAAGGGGGGATAGACGAGGAGGAACGTCTAACCGTTAGACGTCGGTGGAGAGAGGATGGACACGTATGAGATAGGGGAGATGACGAGCAGCAGTAGGTTCGTGGGCAAGACTCCAGGTACGCTGTTGCGGGAGCGAGTAATATATCAGGGTTACAAGGACCCCTTCACCTGCGTTTGGACCAGTTATATGCCGGAACCTCGGGCCTTTCTGTCAGCGCAAACTTTGTTTGACGTCGGACGACGCAGGCGCACCTTGGATGTGACAACGCTGAAGCTCATCGTGACTTATTATGTAGCGATTGCCTCGCTCATCTTCAGTGACAATATTGCCCATCCGACTACGGTTTGAACTTTACTTTCAAAGGCCACCACACCGCGTGTACACTGTGATGACGCAGTGGAATGTCGGCTACGCGGTGGTATCATTCCTAAAGCTACCGGCGCGTGGCTGCATGGCGATTTCGATTGCAGGGCGGAGTCAGCTCGATACTGGCGTGGCATTACATCGACAGCTTCCATCAGTGGCGAGAGTGATTCGCCGACACCGTTGAAGTAGGATGTACAAAGGCAGCGTCGTGGCGTAGTGGTGGATGTCTTGAGGAAGCCACGGGCCTCGAGCATTTCTGGTGCCCCAGAGATATGTTGCTGCACGTTGATGCATGTTACAGACACCAGTTGGTATTGATACAGAAGCAAAACCGTGCAACTAGCAGGATTGGTCAAGCGGCTCGAGCCTTCGACGTCGGAGCTGGGCACGGAGGCGCCTACATAGAATGCCGCAACCGTCTGGCGTCTTTCCCTTCTCGCAGTGCTCGCACCCACTGTCAGTAAAGGACGAATGTGGTGCGTCCAATCTTCCCGTATGGCCGCGAACGGATAGACTATACGTTGAGGATAGACGTACGCAGACCTGCACCCGCTGTGCACGAGTACCGCTGCGGCCTCGGAGGATGCGCCAATGTACGCGCGCGAGAAGTTGGGCAACCAGAACGCGATTCCGTCCCATATCTACCTCGGGCGTAGCTTGTACGACCTGCATGCTTTTGCGGCGGTGGGGATACGCCCAAGATGTCCTAGGGGACGCAGTCTAATCCGTCCAACCAGTGCTTCGGGCAGGGGGATATGGCCAGTTCTCTGCGCATCAGCTTGTTACTCACATGTACGTTCACATCCTCATTGGCACCATCGTCGCTGCCTCTCACATTCCCATAGCCACGGCGTTGGGGAGTGCTAGTACATCTCGAAGCTCCAGGACGAAATCGTTGACGCGTTCGAGAAGCTCGACTCCAGCGCCGTCTTTCAAGCGCGACTCTTCGCTCCGCCTCTTTTGTTTTGCGCGTTAGGTGTCTCTCCCCCGTCCCACCGGAGACGATACTGGAGAAGGCGGGGTGGCTTATCTCCGTTGTGCACGGTATCCTCCCTCCCCCATCACCACCATCATGCACATGTGCGCGGATTCGCCCTCCATCCCCGACGTCCAGTCTGCCGTCCCCTTCTTCGAAGCAGGGCTATCACTCTTCATCCATCCGCGCAGTCCGCATGTGCCCACCGTCCACGCCAACTATCGCTGTTTCGAGATCACCACGCAGCCGACGGAGGAGGAGGCCGCCCGCGCACGGCAAGCCCGGAAAGCTCATCCCGTGATGGTTCGGGGGCAGCACCGACTTGACCCCGTCGTACCTGTACGAGGAGGACGCAGAGCCTTTCAACAGGATGATCTGGGCCGCGTGTGACGCGCACGGGGCGGATCTCTACTCCACGTTCAAGACGTGGTGCGACCCGGCTCGTCGCGCGGGATCTGCTTTGACGACCTCTGCGGCGAGCCGCACAAGCGGTTTGCCGGAGACGACGTGGCGCGGCAGAGGACCGCAGAGACCTTCGCGTTCGTGCCGTCGTACGTCTCGATCCTCGAGCGGCGGTACAAGGCGGCGAGCACGGAGCACGAGAAGAGGTGGCAGCTGATTCGCCGTGGGCAGTACGTCGAGTTCGACCTGGTGTTTGACCGGGGGACGAAGTTTGGGTTGATGCCGTCCGGGGCTCGGAGAGTATCCTCATGAGTCTGTCGGAGACGGAGTACATAAGCGAGCTTGGGACGGAGGCGGAGAGCAGGGAGGGGAAGCTTGTCGAGGTGCTGAAGGATCGGAGGGAATAGGCGTCGAATGCAGGGCTCGAGCGTAAGAAATTTGTTCTTGCGAGTGCCACAGCTCGAATTTCTTCGCACTTTCCGTCGCGCATCCTGACATTGCCGCAGACTATTTATACAACATAGTGCTCCTAGACATCTCCAGGCGCGCATATAGCCACCCTGCTCTCCGCTCCTCACCGTGTCGTCCCCTTGGGTCGCGTTGTCGACTTCTGGGAGCTGGACGTATAGTCACCGTAATCCTGCAGCTGGGGGTTTCCGGCGTCCGCTCATATGACGGATGTTGCGTTGGGGTACGAGTATGCCTCGCTGATACTGGACGTGAGGCGGGCAGAACATTAGGTGGGGCGTGATCGATACTCACTGAGCAGTCATTCGCTTGTCTTCGTTTTGCTCCCGACCACTGTGATATGTGCAGATGGGGCCATGCTGAATCTAGTCAATCGCCATTTCGAGTGCTACGACCCATTCCCAGAGCATACATACCTTGGCAGATTGTTTGTCAATATAGTCTAACGTATTCATGTGCACAAAAACGCCAAGTGTCCGTTGTAACCTACGTTCGTCCCATGAACATACCGGTACGTACAAGAAAGGGAAGATCAAGTCCATGACCTTAGGATCGTACATCGAAAACCGAGACGAACATCGTAGAGAAAATACCCAGACTGGTCAAGGCGACACATCGTCTCCACCCTTCCACAAGTCGCGTCATCTTGAGGCGGTTCGGCCTTTGTAGCATTCACCTCGTCCCCATCCTCAGTCGTCTTCACCACTCTTCAGAGTCATAGGTATGACGATACCAGTCGTCGCTCGGGTCCTCGACCATACCGGGACTCGACTTGTTCTCCGGTCCACTGTTCTGCGAGCTCGTGCTCGACAGGCCCGATCCTTGCCGACTCTACAATCTAAGCGGCGTCCGAGTGGCGGTTTATCCCGACCCGGACGGCGTACAGCGATGGCTTGAGGAGCGTCAGGCCAAGTGTGATAGCGAGCGTATCCGCCCCTACACGCACAGTAACTTGTTGGTCCTTGTGCGATGTCCACCACGGGGTTAAGTCGTGCCAAGTCACTTCGCGCGGAGACGGTGTCGAGAGGACGTCGGTAGACGGTCGGAGGCTCCCCCACACCTCTACACGTGCACGCATCATCATCTGCACCCCTCCAAACTCGAGCGTATAGTCGTACTCGATGGTGATAGTGTGGTCGTCGTGGGACAATGTGAGCCGGTACATCGTCGGATGAGCCTGATCAGGACCTTGGAGACTGACGGTGTACTTCTGGGCGCGGAGAGCATCACGAGTCACCAGTGACAGTTTCAGGGCAATATCGCTATGGTGCTCAAAAATATATGGACCATCCTCTGAGCGCCTGGCTCGGCGGGCGGGGTGCGATATGTAGACAGTCCGAAGCTCTATCCGTGGATGGCAGCGTTCGAGAGTGACCGGCGACAACGCGAGCATATCTGGGCCAACAAAGGGGCCGGGCAACTCTCACTCCCGGACGAGTCTAATCCACCCCGCATATAAGAGGTCGACGCCTGATTTGGAGGGTAGTATGCGACAGACTCTCCCGAGGAGGTGTCCGGGATGATCACCGTGTTCACAGCCAAGGATGGCGAGGTACCAGTGAGACATGGGGTGATCGTGAGGTACGTCTGTCGCGTCTGGGTGAAGAACAGCAAAGAGGGGTAGGACGGGTAGCTGCGTGCGGATGCCGTACGGCGTGAAGGTATATTCGGTCGGGGAAAGACTAGGGAGCTGGAGGCGATGGCCGACTTCGTCATGGGGAATAGCTCTGGTGGTATGGGCGACAAGGAACTCTTTGAGAGAAGCAGTGATCGAGGATTCAGAGCTTGGAGAGTATGCCATCAATCGATATGCCTTGTCTCTGGGTACAGAGGCAACGTCGTTAAGCTGTTCATCGACATCCAAGGGGGGCTTCCAGGCACCTCCCCAAGCGAAGAGGCTCTGGTCTGGCGTTCGCCGCAGGATCTCCTCCTGCAGCCGCCGGAGTGCACGATCACCCTCGCCGTAGAGGGTGGGCATATTGATGTCGAAGATTCCCATCAACGAGTACGCTTGGTCTTCCACTCTCTCCGTCTCTCGCTTCGAGGCCCATGAGAAGCGTTGAGCAACAGAGAATTCGTCCAACCCTGTGTCAAGCAGCAGGGCTTCCCTATCAATGCCAGTCATCTGCTCGAGAACATCGATGAAATCTCCCTTGGACCCAATGATTTCCCAGTCGGCGGAGAGGAAAACCAATCGACCGGGCGCGATGAGCTCCTGGAGTGTCCATCCGCGTGTGAACCATCGGCTCTTACGGAAGAATGATCCCTCAGATTGAGACGACTCGCCAGGGGGAACATCTGCCAGGTATGCGTAGCATATGGCCGAGTCCCCATACCACATATACATCGAATTGATGGCCTCGGAGAGCTCGGAGCTGCTCGCCTTGTCGATGCAACACGAGTCGATCCAGATGTATCGGTGTTCCGCCTGGCGTGCGACCGCACACGCCAACTTGATTTTCGGTGACAGCTCCGGGTCGTCCCATATGCACGCAGGAGCATTCGGGACACGGCTACTTGAGGATGAAGCCGGCGGACGTGCGGAGGACTCCTCGACAGGAGGAGCCGCGGTGTCGTGAATGACAACATGAGCGAGGACTGGTTCCGGAACCGTTGATATCGAGTCGGCTGGCGGGGAATGTCCCAGCAGTTTGACGAAGCGCGCTGCGGAACGGATGATGAGATGGAGGAATTGCAGCAGCCTTCGCCAAGGGCCGCTCAGGCGCGACTGAGTGGTATCGTGAGGGCAAGCATTGACTGCATAGGTGTCTTCAAGTCGTCCCTCCGTCGGGCCGACACCACCAGCGAGGAGCGCCGTACGCTCGTTCGGAAGTGTTGTCGTAGAAGCAGCCTCTCGGGCTGCGGGGAACGGAGCGCAGCTAGTAGCTGGGGTTGGAGAGGATGGGCTGTAAGGGGGTGTGGCAGCAGAGGTCGGATTGTCCTGTCGATGGGGAGCATTGTTTTGAGGACGTGCCCCAGGCCGCAGAATGTAGCGTTCCTGAATCTTCTTCAGCTGTGCGTATGTCTGCTCTCCATTCTGATGGTCCCAGGTATGCGACAAGATCGCGTACTCCGTTGTTAGATGGTCGATCTCGACGAACTGGCCGGTCTCCGTGTCAAGGACTCGCATGATACCGTCGGAACCTCCGCAGAAGAGACCTCTGTACCATAACCAGAGGAGGAATGGTGGGCAATTTATTGAACGAAAGCCTGCGACTGAGGAAGACCGTTGCAAAAGCAAAGGATAGGCGCTGGGGAATGATTGGCGGGGGCTTGTCCACGTGGCCCGCAACTTTGCGGGGACGTCTGTGTCTGAGCGTCTTGCTGAATTGCTCTGTCTCCCTCCGTCTGGTAGCCTTGCCTTGATTCCGCATACTCACTCCGCCAGCAATCATGTCCGACCCCACAAAAGCCGAGACGGAACATGTGTTTAAGGTGCTCAAGGCGCAAAAAGCGAACAAGGTGTGTCCGATGATGGGTGACGGCGAGCAGGGCTAAATGTTGTCAGTAGATGTGTTTTGATTGTCAGGCTCGCAATCCGACATGGTCTAGCGTGACCTTCGGCGTATACATCTGCTTAGAATGTTCAAGTGTTCATCGTAACATGGGTGTCCATATCAGTTTCGTTCGGTGAGTGTGCAGTTGATACGTGATGACTCCCGATGTGGTATACCGCAAATCGCGGAGGTCGTTGGGGCTGGAGCTCGGACCATGTCCAATATGACTATCGGCACATATATCCGCTCGAGCATGTTGCTAAACCTTGCCTTGAACCTACCACGTTGTATGGCCCATTGGTCCCGCGCCTGCGCCCGTCCCAAGGAATGTACCGCGCTTACTGATGTGTTGGGTTGTATGCGCAGATCGACGAATCTGGATAGCTGGCAGCTGAACCAGCTCCGTACTATGAAGGTCGGCGGCAACGCATCGGCAACAGAGTTCTTCAACAAGCACGGTGGCGCGGCACTGCTCAATGATTCCGATTCCAAGAAGAAGTACTCCAGTCGCGTCGCAGAGTTGTACAAGGAGGAGCTCGCACGACGTGTCAGGGAGGATGCAGCTAAGTAAGTCGTTGTCTTCGTCTCTACTCTAGCATTCGTGTAAGAACGTACTCCTAGATATCCCGACAAGATCTTCGTGGAAGGCGCCGAAGTCTCCGCAACACCAGTACCGCAGGGTGGTGATGAAGACTTCTTCTCCTCGTGGGACAAGCCCGTAACCAGACCATCATCTGCCGCCTCCTCCAAGCCCACCTCGCCTCCAGTAATTGGCAAAGCAGCGAGCCTCGGCACTGCCCCCCGCACAGTCAGCTCTGCCTCCCTCCGCTCCACCTCCACCTCCACCATCGCGTCTTCCAGGCCTACGTCCAAGCTCGGCGCCTCCCGTCTGAACTCCTCCCCTGCCTCCGTCGCCAGCACCGCCTCGACCGCGGCGCCCAAGAAGTCCAAGCTTGGTGGGCTCGGTGCGAAGAAGGCCGCGACCCCAGTGAACTTCGAGGAGGCAGAACGCAAGGCCGCGGAGGAAGCGGAGCGCATCCGCCAGCTGGGCTACGACCGCGAGCGCGAGAAGGCCGAGGCAGAGGAGCGCGCGCGCGTTGCGGCCGAGCAGGCGGCCGCGAACAAGGCGAAGTCTCCCGTGGCGAAGAGCACGCCTGTCACATCGCCGGCGATCGCCACGCCCAAGGGCAATGCGCAGGATTTGGAGCGGTTGGGGATGGGCTTCAAGCGCCTTGGGTTCGGGGCTGTCCCTGCTGCTGCGGCGGCGTCTACGAGGTGAGTCCACCGTCTGCACCCTACTTGCGATGCCTCAATTTGGGGTGCGGACGTCTCGCCGAGGATGATGCTGACCTCTGCGCACAGTGCGGCGGCTTCGGAGGATGCGCCCACGTACGCCCGCGAGAAGTTCGGCAACCAGAAGGCGATTTCGTCCGACATGTACTTCGGGCGCAATTCGTACGACCCACAAGCGGTTGCGGAGGCGCAGACGCGTCTCCAGTCGTTCCAGGGCGCGCAATCGATCTCGTCCAACCAGTACTTCGGGCGAGAGGAGGAGGAAGATGCGGGCATCGGCCACCCGACAGACGGGGGTTTGCTTGGGGACGGGTCACTTGCTGGTTTGGAGTTGGCTGCGAGGGATGCGGTAACGAGGGTGCTGGCGAATCCGGATGTTCAGAATGCCGCAGAGAGCATTCGGGCTGGTGCGCTCAAGGTGCGCCTTCATTGCGTTCGTTCTGCGTCTTCTGTTATGCTGACGCCTTGTATTGCGCGCAGCTCTCTGACTACCTGGCGCAGATGTCCGAGCGGTAGTGCACTGACGGCGCAGATGTTCGAAGGGACGATCACCACAGGGTTATTAGAGGGGTGAAAGGCTCGCCATTGTGAGGGTGTCTCTGGGGCAGCCTCGGCAGTATACTTCGCCTGTACCCCCGACTTTCTGGATATTTATCATCTTCGGTTGGATGAGATGGCGGTGGTGCAACACCCTCGCAAGTGCCGCAAAAACCTAGGTCGTACGCAAGATCGGAACGCGATCGCACCATCTAGTACGTATCCTCTTCTGCACGATTCAAGAAGGCTGCTTCTTTTGGACGAAGTAGGCTGTATCAGGCAGATATCCGGATGCTCGACCTTCAACCGTCCAAGGTATCCATTACATTCATCCTCTTGACGGATTGAGCTCGGTACAACGTCGGGGCCTCTATCTACTCCGCATTCGTGTGCTCCACTGGACGATTTTCCTCAAGCATCGTCGGGAAGATGTGAAGGCCCTAAATTCTATCGACGTCAGCCTCGTGAAGCCCGCCTCCTCCTCATGATCACATGGCGTGATCCCATTGATGCGGGTCGGGCGCAACCCTCGCTTCTCTCCCGCCGCAGCCTAACCGCGCATCTCGATTCTCCGACATCCATCCCCGTACGCGACTGGCGCACGCTACGTGCTTGTGGTGCCTACATCTTGCCCCATCAGTGTCAGCACTCGGCCAGGTATATAAGCTGACGATGCATTGGAATTGGCCCCAGTCAAGATCGTTTGCTCCAACCCCGATTTTCGTCTCTAGAAGACCATACCGCCGTTCACGATGCGCTTCGCTGCCCTTTTTACCGTCACCGCCGTCACAGTTGTCGCGACCGCTCAGACCCTGACAGGCCAGTACGACTGCACACCCGCTGGCGAGTTCACGCTCTGCCAGAACCTCTGGGGCGAATGTACGTCTTCTGGTCCCCGCGGTGCCTGATAGTGTCCCGTGATCTAACCAAATGCCTTGTGTTCAGCTGCTGGTGTCGGCGGTCAGAACTCGACATTGCTTAGTGCAAGCGGCAACACCGTCTCGTGGCGCACAATCTGGCAATGGCAAAACAACCCGAACAACGTCAAGAGCTATGCCAACGTCGAGAGCAGCACGGCTAAGGGCGTGCAGCTGTCCAAGCTTTCGTCCGCGCCGACCGCCTGGCAGTGGAAGTACGAGACCGAGTCATCTGGTATCCGGGCTGATGTCTCGTACGTCTTCCTGTGGACTTGACGATCGGGGCGTGCACTGATAGGCACATTGTGTGCGTGTGACACAGATACGACATCTGGACGGGCACCGCTTCCTCGGGACAGCCTGCATCGTCCGCGTCGTCGTACGAGATCATGATCTGGCTCTCCGGCCAGGGCGGCATCCAACCCGTCGGCTCGCAGGTCACGACGGGCATCAGCCTCGCTGGCCACACCTGGAACCTCTGGAAGGGCCCGAACGCGAACTGGCAGGTGCTCTCGTTCGTGAGCCAGGATGGGGACATCACGGACTTCAACGCGGACCTCAAGGAGTTCTTCGACTACATCGTCCAGAACCAGGGCGTGTCGTCATCGCAGGTGAGCCTCGCCCTTCGCTTGTGTAGCAGGTCAGGGGCAGTCGCTAATCGGTCACTTGTAGTATGTGCAAGCGATTCAGACTGGCACAGAGCCGTTCACGGGCAGCGCGAGCTTGTTGACGGAGAGCTACAGTGTTGCGCTCAACCAGTAAACGGAAGGGCTCGCGTTCAATACCTGTATTAGCTACTGTATATCTATGTATATCACGAAGCGCTCCCTATCCGTTATCGCGACTCGCAGCAGGGCAGCCAATGTCGTCCCAATATTCAACTCAATGCTCTTTACCCACTAAAGTAATGGTAGTCTCATAGTTGGGCCCGTGAACCGAGCGACTATATGGCTCAACGAAAGCGTTCACATAATTGACATACATTCTTCGCCATACCAAACTGCCTAGATGGATTGAATGACACATTCGACTACTGCGCATCTCCGCTCATTCATCACAACCTTCATCGCTTGCTCGAAGACACTCCTAACCTCGTCCGCACGTTCGACCTTTCTGGCCCACGCTCCTCCAGCAGCTGCGGCAATGCCACCGAAGTCCGCACTAGGCACTCCGAAACCTACACTGAGCCTTTCTCCCGACACACTACTGCCAATTCCCTCCGGGTAAACCCCTTTCATGGAGGCTATAGGGCTCTGTATCGTAACATACCATCAGTACCCAACAAAGTAAGACTATGGAGATATCAGCAACGTACAGCCCAGCCCCGGTTGTTGAGCACGATCGTCAAGAATGGCGTCCCATATCGCCTCGCGATCCAGTACGCCGCCGTCGGTACCCCAAAGAAGAAGTTGCCGTCGCCGGTAATTGATATGATAAGCTCGGTGCCCTTGTCCGCAACCTTGGCACCCATCGAAGCGCCAATGCTCGCCCCCAATATCCAACCGAGACTCGTGCCGCCAGACATGAGCATGCTGCCGGGCTGCTCGGGATTGATATGATTCCAGATAAACCGGTTGGAGGTGCCGGATTCGGTTAGCCACAGGACCTTGCTACCTCGACTGGGGGTGACGGTGTTCGCGGTGTCGCGGAGAGCTGCGACGATGAAGGGCACACTCAGCGTGTGCCCATCTGGGGCCAGGCGTGCCTCGGCCGCGGAGAGATCTGCAAGCCTCTCCGCGCGGATGGTATCGAGACGTGACCGGCGAGCCAGCAGCTTTGCTTCAAGCGCGGGTGAAGATAATGCCGATTGCGCTTCAATGGTATCCAGCGTATCGAGCAACTGGTGAAGAGCAGTCTCCGCCTCTGCGGTGCAGAGCATCTCCGCGTCGACATGCGACCAGCCAAAGGTCCGTTTGAGCGGGTCGTTATCCACCACGAAGATCCTCGCGTCCTTGCGGGGCTCGGTGTCCGCCACGTCCGTCCACGGAACGTCGACGTCGAGCAGCAGAATAACATCCGCATCTTCTAGATGAGGCAGCTTGCCGATGAAGACGTAGCCCAGGTAGCATGGATGATTGCCTGGGATGCAAACACTCGGAGACGCGACGGAAAGGACTCCGATAGCGAGTTTGCTGGCGAGCTGGGACAAGAGCGGAACAGTGGCAGGATTACGACCGGCGTTAGCGGCGATAATGAGTGGAAAATCGGCGTTGAGAAGGGCAGAGGAAATTGTGTCCACGGCTGTTGCCTAGGTCGTTAGAGAGGCTCATATGTAATAGAAATGAGTCGACTGCTCACCGTGAGGCGACAGGGCGGGCATAGTGATGGAAGGCCAGCTTGTGGGGCTCACTGTTGTAGCCACCGTTGCTTCGTCGACGTCTTGCTCTGTTGCTTCTCTGCGCGCCCACAGATATACAGGGCCCTTCGGCTGGCTCGTTGCTCTGTTCAAGGGAGGACCTGAGTATGAGATCTGGCCGATAGGCCATGACGGACAGCGACGCACATCTGCAACGCGCGCATAATTTGTCTCGATGCGGTCTTTCCGCTTTGGATCTGCGCCGTATATCTCATGTACTGGCGCACGATAGCAGGCTGGTCATGCGCATCTATTGCAATGCGTGTCAATGCTCATCGTCAACTCTGTATCGTCAACGCGCACCCTGCAGCCACATCATAAACTCGTTTCTAGAACCTTTGAACTCGCCATTCGCGGAGAACGGAGCGGCACCCGCAAAGATCAGCACAGGGACCTGACCTCGATCGACATTATGTATCGCGCCAGCCAGTGCCTGCAAGATCGGATCGTTACAGCTCTGCAACGGCGACATAAACAACACTGCTGACCTGTGTGCCAACGTCGACATGGACTATGACTGCAGCGGGCTTGCGCGTCACTTGCGCATAGCCATGCGCCGCGCTTAGCGCGACGTACTCGCTCGGGCACGTCACGATCTCAATCAGCGTCCTTCCGTCGCTCTCCGCTCTCTGCCTTTGCAAGTCCTCCAGGAACGCGGGATGGTCGCTGCCCCAGTTGACGAAGGCGTGGGTGACCCCAGCGCCGGCCAGGGTTTCGAAAAACACGGAGGCAGTAGTGTACATATTCGTGTACATGCACCGAGCCCGGCCAGACTACGGTTGTGTCGCAATTGGCCCCGGGTTGCGGGGAACCAGAAGGTCGCGATTGGGGTGCAGATGGGGGAAATGAACCCCAGAGAAATCAGGAAGAGATCGGAGGCAGCGTGTGTGTCGAGTTAGCGTGGACGACGACGCGGCGGGCGGAGGCAGGCAGCAGCCTGGGACTTGGGCAGGAGATAGTGAACGTATCGGACGCTCGAGGAGCCGGAAATTCCCTGGTTCTAAGGATTGAACTGCGGCTTTTGGACTCCTCTGTCGTTTGTCGCCCCTTTGAGCAGTCAGATGACGATTTGAATGGCGTGTCTGCATCTGACTGGTGTCCGACAATGGTTTCGCGGGCGTTATAGTGAGGCTTCTGGCGACCCACGGCCGTCGGATTGCCACGAGTAGCATGACGAAGATATAGCAAGATGAGAGCATGGGTAGTATGCTAATTCAAGAATCTGGAAGTCGTCGATATTTCCGCCTAACCATGTGCCGAAGGAAGCCTCAAAACAAGCCGTCAGGTGAGTGCGTCAAGTGAGGGACTGCACGTCGTCCTCAACTATCGCGCTATTTGTGCTGAGAATTATTTTGACTCTAGTGATTAAGGTTGCTTGTGACGTACCAAATCATGTATTCTGGGAGACTATGTCGAGGCCACCCGGCCCAGCCACTAACGAGAATAAGCGAAGGCCTTCGACCTTGCTAAGCTTTCAGCTCATGTGCCGGAGCCTTGGCCGGCGACACCTTCCAGGCATTCTGTCAAGCATATGACAGCGCGTTCAGTGGTCTCCATAGAGTACGGCGGGCATACAGATACAGCGATGAAAGACGTCGGTGATGATGAGCGGAGGTTGAGAACTACAGCGCGCGTAGCGCCCGCTCTCCTGTTCTCCGCGACGTCCACGTTCACGACCACCTACGCCCCACTCTCTACGCTCGCATCCTCTGTACATATACGCGCTGTATTGCTCGCCACACTTGTATCCATACACTGTATTCCTGCTCTGGCAACGCTCAGATGGACGCACGACTTCGCCGAGTGAACAAGGAGATTGCAGGTGTGTGCCTCACCACTCAGATGTATAACGAGAAACCTCATCCGGGAGTTCGTCTACTGTCCAGACTGCAAGAGTGACAAGCAGTCAAGCGTGACGATAGATCTCGTGGATGAGAGTCCCTTTCATCTCATCGGGTCGTTCGATGGACCGGAGGGTACGCCCTACGAGGGCGGCCGCTTCCAAGTTGTACGTCTGCCGTGTCGCGCTTTCGCCCCTGCCGCTTTCCTCGCTCACGTTCATACCGCATACAGGACATCGTCATCCCGGATAACTACCCATTTCAGCCTGTCAAGATGAAGTTCATCACGAAGGTTTATCACCCCAACGTCTCCTCCGCATCAGGTGCCATCTGCCTCGACATCCTCAAGGACGCATGGTCGCCCGTCCTCACGCTCAAGTCTACCCTCATCTCCCTTCAATCGCTCCTCTGCTCCCCAGAGCCACGAGATCCGCAAGACGCCGAGGTCGCGAAACACTACATGACGAGCAAGAGCAGTTTTGAGGATACCGCGCGGTACTGGACTATGATCTACGCTGGGGGTCCGGGGAAGGAGGGGCTCGGGAAGGGTGCGAAGGGTGGGCCCCGGGATGAGATCGCGATGGCTGGCTTGGATAGGGCACATGTGGCGCAGTTTGAAGCACTAGGGTTCGACAGGGCCAAAGTGGTGAGTAGCGTCCTCTCCGCTCTCACGGCACATCGGCCTCACGCACACGTCTAGATTGATGTGTTGAGGAGATTGAACTACCGTGGCGCAAATGTTGCGAATATCAACGATGACCGGGTAGTGGAGGAGCTGCTGAAATGAACCATGTAACCAATAGTGTGGGTGTTTCATGCAGCTGTCGTTTCCGACTATTCGTGTCCTTGTCACATCAAAACGGAGCTCTGGGAATGTAAGTACACGATTACAGTCTTTCCGCCACACGAAGTCTGGTCCGACCTCCTCAATGACTCTCAGTCGAGTTCCCGTGCGAGGCGCATCCTCCAAGCGATCAGCCTTGGCTGGAGAATAGGACATAGCGAGGTTGATGCTTTGCTGTCCCTCCACAAGAGTCTAGACCCGTGATCGAGATTAATGCGATGTGTCAGACGCGGACAGATACGGCCCGATGGTGGCGATCTTGACTTGTCCTCAACGATCATGAGCACTCAAACCAGTAAGTCTGTCGGTCACTCCATATCTCTCTTGCTCACTGCGATCTCTTCCTAGTTATTCGCAGAATCACTCCCGAGGAAACGTACCCTCTCCGCCACTCAGTCTTGTGGCCGGACAAGTCACTTGACTACGTCAAACTCCCACAGGACGATTTCGGGGATCACTACGGCGTATTCATCGACGGCGTATCCGCACCCGTCGCCGTAATATCCGTCTTCTACGAGACCCTCCCGCAGCCCGAGAATTCGGCACCAAATGAGGTATCGCCTGTAGTGCCAGCATTACGATTCAGGAAGTTCGCCTGCGATCCTGCGCATCAAGGGAAGGGCATTGGTACGAAGCTTCTTCTGCACGTTTTCAACGACGCGCAGAAGTTCGGCGCCATATGGTGCGATGCTCGACTGAGCAGCGCAGGATGGTACGAACGGGAGGCCATAGGCATGTCACGGTTTGGAGAGATATTTCTCAAGGAGGGCATTGAGTATGTTCGGATGAAGAAGACATTCATACCATTGTCTAATGCTGGAGGGGATCGTGCCTCTGATCCTGGTCCTGTGTCATGATATTGATGACCTCCCTCGTCTCCGCACTCATGTACGACGTATAATACTGAAAAGAATCGAAAATGCGTTACACGTTGTCTATCAGCACGCGCCTAGTGATGCGCACAACGTTCAACGCTTTTGAGACTATGCTTAACAACTTGCACGTCTCCGACATATGTACTCTCTAATTGGCACTTCGAAAGCCTACCTACATCGCCGTGTGTCGCTTAGCGCCCAATGGTGACATGTGCTGCCTCCGATATGCAACGGAACTTGAAATTTGCCTCGTGGCCACCAGTAACTTGCTCTCTTCCACGTTCACTACGACGTGTGGGTCATATAGAAAGGTGCGGTTGGAGTCCGGTGGACCATGCATATACAGCACGCTTTGGCGTTGACGAAATTGACCTGCGCTTTGCTATAGATCCGGTATTCCAGACCGCTTGACCCCCATCCTGGGCGGGATTAAAAGGCCGTGCCTCGTGTCTGCCATTTGGACGATCTGCCCACTTTCCTTCGCGTACTGTCGTTGACTGCCCCGCGACTATCGACTCTCGAAGCCAGACTTTGACCTCGAAGGCTTCTTGTTGAGACTATCTGGGATCTAGACTAACTTATGCTTATGCGCGTACAATACCCACTGGAGCTCATTGCTGTGCTCGTTCTCTTTCTCGAAGGTCTTCCGATCGGAGGCGCTTCTGCGCAGACCACGCTTCAAGGCCCTAATGACTGCACCGCGGCCGGAGCGTACACGCTTTGTCAGAACTTATGGGGTGCAGGTGAGTTATCGTAGATGTCTCTTCATACGGACACAGATAGATGGACTATGATAAGACACTGGCACTGGCTCGCAGACGACTACTCTGAACTCTGCTGGCGGAAGTTCGGTCTCGTGGTCAACAAGCTATACTTGGGCTGGTAGTCCGAATAATGTCAAGAGCTGTAAGCTGTTCATTCTATTCGCTGACGTTACATTAGTGACGCGCAGAAGACCCTAATGTATACCACAACACGGCCAAGGGTATGCAGCTCCAAGATATTGTCTCTGCACCCACGAGCTGGCAATGGTACTATCAGTCCGCGTCGAACGATCTGGCAGCGGACGTCTCCTACGATATTTGGACCGGAGTACCACAGTCTGGCGATCCCGCTTCGTTGGCCTCCTCATACGAGATGTAGGGATCCCTTGGGCTTTGTTTGTAACGCGATAGCTTACGCCTCTCGCTGCGCAGCATGATTTGGCTTTCTGATCGTGGCGGGTAGGCTAGGCATTTGCTTCATATCCAGGTCAATGATGCACAACCTTCATTACAGCGTTGGTGGTATAGGAAATGTTGTCGCCCAGAACATCCAGGTTGGCGGACACACCTGGAATCTCAAACAGGGCCCCAACTCCAACTGGGATGTCTTCTCCTTCATCACCGCAGAAGGCGACATCACGAACTTCAACTCCGACTTGAAGGACTTCTTCCGTACGTCGTCCTCGCTCGGCTACGATATCTTACTGCACGGGGGACTGACAACGACGCAGAGTACCTTATCGACAACCAGGGTGTGGCAAAGACGCAGTACCTCCAAGCGATACAGACCGGAACGGAGCCTTTCACTGGCACTGCCGACCTCGTCATCTCTAACTTCAGCGTTGACGTTTCCACTGTTGACGACTCGCCCACGTCTTCGTCATCTTCACCCATCTCATCTTCCTCGCATTCCTCGTCCACTTCAGCATCCGCACAGCCGTCGAACGTGTCTAGTCATGGCACTACGCCGACTATTGCCACCTCTAGTGCTTCCACCACTCCCCTGAACACGGCGACCACGAGTGTTTCTCCCGCATCGCAGCAGACGAGCGAGGCAGGATCCGTTTCTGATCCAGGCGTTCGGGGGAAGAGCGGCCCGCAATGCCGTCTGCAGCTGCCAACCTCAGGCACGGTCACAAGAAGGGGCCTATTCAGGCGACTATTTCGCAAGTAGACTTGCGCGGTGGTTGCGTATTTATTGTGGTATGGAGGCGGGAGCAGCGCTGTCCGCCTATGTTCGAACTGCGCTTTATAGTCGAAGGGAGGTTATAGACATGTTGTACATCTACGGTGACTCGTTTCTCCCAGGCGTGGGAAGAGCAGATATCTTGAACGTCACAATATTATTGCGAGGCGTGCTTATCTCACGCGCTGCTCGCAACCACGCGTTGTCCCTTGGGACCGACACGAACGAATATCCAGATCCGCCAGTACACAACCTCTATGGTTGGTTCGTTGCCGTACGTCTGGATCTTCTCTTCGAACCCATTCTGCCTCCTGCTCCACCTGGGGGTAGTCACCCAATGAACAGCGATTTGATTCGCCCTGCCCATCCTTTCGGTGAGCCGCGCAATCTGGTCGTCGCGAATGCCAGCAGCCATGATGGGCTGACCGCCCTCCTCCTCCAGGTACTCTGGGGCAGTTCCTTCGATCATGTGGTCGTTTCCCGGGAGCTCGATAACGCGGTCGAGCATCACGTAGCACATCTCGACGGCGAATTGTGAGTCGCGAGCCTCGTAAACAATCTTGAGGGACGCATCTAGAGAGAGCCCATGAAGCACTCGCAGTATGACGCCATCCGACGCTTTGAGGTGCGGCTCGACATTCTTCAGAGCCTGCTTGGCGGCCTCGACGTCGGGATAGGACTTCGCGAGGGGGTACGTGTGAGCGAGACCAGACATCAGGTTCCCTCCATCAGGCAGGAACATCGGGTCGTCGAGGACGCTAGACAGGGTGTGTTGGAACGTCGACTCGTTCGTGGGCATGGAGCGGGCAATAGCGTGGGACGATGGGGAGTCCTTGCCTCCTGCATGGAAGAGGTTGTACGTGACTGACTGACACACGGTACCCGGAGGTGACGGGCAAGACTTCGTGCTCGACGTCGCTGAAGAAGGCTGCGTTTCTTCTTCGAGTAGCGCAGAGGAGTCAAGTTCCCAGTGTTGAACCTCCTTGCGTCCCGGGCGGCGGAGCATGAGCTCGCCTCCCTTATAGGGAGTCGGAAAGATGATGACCAGGGAGCCGAACATGAGCTCGCTGCGGGGAGTGTCAACATGCGGTGTGAAGAACGCGTTCTGCCCTATGCCCAGGAACGTGAGCGATGTCGCACCTTTGAGATGAAAGGTCTCGCGCACCATACACGTTCAGCTTGTACAAGTCAACTCTGATGTCCTTGGCAACGGGTTTGTCCCTGCTTTCGACAAATAATTCGGTGCGGACAACATCGATCGAGTCAGAGCGGTTCACATCGAACCCGAGCGCGAAATCAGTCTTGTCCAGCTTGCCAGCTTTGCGGTAGGTTTCATCATACACGTTGTTACCACCGACACCATATGTGGCTGGGTGACTCATGCGTCGGAGTTGCAGTGAAGAGGTTGATTCGACTACGTCAATCGTTGTGAACGATGAATGTAGGTTGGGTGAGAGGGCCCTCAGACACGACTTACTGTGCATCTCCTTCTTTGCCGTAGAAGAGCGTAAAATCGCTGTCCGATAGTGGAGGCATGCCGTAGCAGAACGGCGGCTTACGCACGATCGCTTTATTCAGGACGCTCAGTTTTCCGCGGGTGTACATCAGGAAAACGTCACGGACTTGGACCCATACTTGGGCCCAAGTTCATGTACTTGGACTCAAGTCCATGTACTTGGCCTCAAGTCCGTGTACTTGGACTCAAGTCCGTGTACTTGGCCCCAAGTCTATGTACTTGGCCTCAAGTCCGTGTACTTGGCCCCAAGTCCATGTACTTGGTCCCAAGTACACAGACTTGACCCAAGTCTATATACTTGGGGTACTTGGGCCACAACTTGGACTTTACATGTTGACTTCAGTATACTCAGGCCTCAATTTGAGCAATTGGTGTTCTATCAGTCACACATCTTATATCTTATGTAATAATATCTATTATAGACATCCATACACTAGTTGTAAACCAGTCTGTTTTAAGGCTGTAGAAGCAGCTTTATAGTCTATTAGAAGAAGGGCAATAACATGTGATAGAAGACTTTAAGTTGTTACAATGTGCTTGTTTCAGTAGTGATACAGAGGTACAATATCCAGATAATGCTCAAGAATAGTGGTATCAGTGGTGGATGTCCAAGTTCTGCTATGGTACAGGAGAGGATGGTGAAGAATTTCTCGGAGTCCAGCAAAGAGCGCTATATATTGCTGCTATTCTGTGCTATAGTGTGAGCTTGTGTAGTGTAGTGGTTGAACATGCTATGTTGAACACTGAAATTGCAGGATGCTGG